ACTAACGGATTTTGTCAATTTTAGTTAGAGTCATATATATCGTCATCAATGCCATACATTGATTTACCACGGATTTCAGTTAAAAGGCATTATAAGGCAACCAAGCAAGACAAACCTCGTGATGTTAACGGATATCGTTCCGTGGCCTACTTTGTGAACCAGGTATAAAATCTCATCTATATACTCTATCAATAAATCAAACTAACTAAGCAAGCACCATCAGGGTATTTATGCTCGGAACTTCCAGCCTCAGGATATCCCCGCCAAGAGACTGACCTATATTCTCTACGCATTGCCAATGCCTAAACCTCTAGTGAGGTTGTCCTATCAGACACTTAGTCGGACACTAACAAGTACTACTTCACTGATTCGTGGGCTGATATCGGAAACAATACTTACAGCTATATCAAGCAGCTTTTCCTGCCCAAGAAGAAAAACAGTAACCTTAAGGTTCTTCTGTCAATTGGAGGCTAGTACTATTCTTCTAGCCTTAGAAAGGCGTTTAGACTAAGGGGGACGCCAAAAGTTTGCTGATAGTCCCATCGAGCTGGTGAGGAACTTGGGATTTGACGGTATTGATATTTATTTTGAAGTGAGTTTGCTATATTTTTCACAGTGTTTAATTCTGACATTAGATAGTACCCAACCAATTATAAGGAAGTGGACTAATTTGTAGATACCCTACGCCGGCTTCGTAAGATATTATTATACTTCTTTTCTTGATAACTCTGCTAATACTAAGCCTTTCTGGGCCTTAGATTCGTACGACTCGGCTGACGTAAATAGCTATTATTTCTTGCTTACCGCTATATTATCTGCTAGGACGTGTCGTTTCCTTAAAATATCTTAGCAAAGCTAACCCAAATTCTAGGCCTTACTAACTACTAGATAGAGCATGTGGCCCTAATAGATTAGTATCTTAACTTCTAGAACCTAATGACCTACGATTACGACGCAATCTAGGACAGCGTTACCGGGAACGACTCCAATCTCCATCTATTTAACAGCAACCCAGCCAGCACTTCCTTCAACGCGGACCAAGTAATCGACTACTATAGCTCGCACGGAGTGGCCTCTTATAAGATTGTCCTAGACATGCAGCTATACGGCTGAGCCCTCGCTAACACCAACGGTCCTAGCCAGCCCTACAACGGTGTTAGTGTTAGTAGCTGGGAAAACGATGTGTGGACTGGTCTAACGGAATCAAATAACATTCAGCAACAGGAACATGTCGCGGAACTTCCCTGGATGGTGTTCTCGAGAGATCAAAGAATTGAAAATGTCACCACGAACCTGCTCCGAGATGGTTGGTGTGTACTCAGGCAGCTTCGACTAGAACACTGGGTTTAGCATGTCATGGGCATGGCTTCAGCAACCATTGCTGTTTTTGTGTCTTATCGTGACAAGCTCAGCTTCTATCTCTTCAGCCTTTTATGCCACGTTCCCTCTGAAGCTGAGAAGTATCAAAATGTACCAGAAACATAAGGAAATACATACCTTCAGCCTTTCTGTATCGTATCGCCACTAAACTATATACAGAAGAGGATCAGTGAGTATTGAGATAAAATAAGTCTCTAAACACGGCAACTACATCAATGCTCCCACAAATAAATATCTATATTCTCTTACGACAGTCATCTTAACTTTTGATAACTTCCTCCTGTGGCGCTGAGTCAACTCCAAGAATGACCCAAGAATGACCCCAGCCACTCCTCTTGATCCTATTGATATTCCCGGGCTACTTGAAGTCGCGGTCAAGGAATATACTGATTGACATCTATCACGTGTAAGTACCGAGAGCTTTCAGGAAAATATCAAGAAAAGCTCGTGATATAGCGTTAGACAGCTGTCTTGATGTGAAGCAAATTTGTGGCGAAAATCCAAATGTCTTTGTCAAATAGGGCGAGAAAATCAGCCATCGTGCAGGTTTTTGCTAATATTAGCCTCTGGATCAAGCACTGTGAACAAAGCAAGGCGAGAGGGAATGGCCCTAATTATTATACATAGAAGATATTACCTGTTGCCTTTGTTAGCATTACATTACTGTATTGATTTCTCTCTCCTGGCCGGATTATTGGCAATCCCAGTGTATAATAAAGACTTGTTCCGAGCTGCTGGAAAGAGATAAGGATATGTAAATGTGAGAAGTATATTTAAATCGCTCTTTCGGGTGGCGGTTTACTTATTATATGCCAGTAAATCAATATTAATATCATCGCGGGGAGCAGCGAAGATTGTGATCCTGTACGACTTCGATCCAAGGCCCGGCAGCAAGACGAGGAGAGGCAGCTATAACGCACCAAGAAATGGAAATATCTAGTTCTGTCAATTCCTTATGGACAAACAGTTCAAAGTCTGTGCCCTAGAACAGCAGACCAACCCTTATATATACGCTGCGCGCGGGTGAGTGATTACATGGCCAATATGGAAATAGTTAATTTACTACTTAATGGGAATTGTAAAATGCCATTATCATTGAATTTTATATGTTATTATATCTGAATATTATCCTTCAGCTAGACTATATCAATCAAGCTTATTCGAAGATCAATATGAAAGACAACGCCATACATTCCCAATAATTTCATTCCCAAACAGCTGCTCCCACCGTACAGCGCAGGAAACCAGACCGAAAACCTAGCCCGTGCGTGAGCAGAAGAAGTCTGCATGCTGGACTACCTACAGGGCCTCGATCCAACTCCTGGGCTGTCCTCTCAAAGTACCCAACTCGGCAAGAACCGACGGAACCTGGCGAAAGCACCAGGGCCCGGACCCGGATACGCCCCGGGGCCGAGCGGATGGTCGGCGCACATGCGGACGTCGGCCATCGTAACGCCTTCGGGCAGCTCTGCTGGGTCGATTCTCATCACGCCCAGGGACCCGCACTCAGCTTCCGCCGCGGCGACCTCCTCGGGGGTTGCGTCTGGGCCGAGAGCGGCGAGGGTAGTGGTTGCAGAGATACCAAGGAGAAGGGAGAGGTAGGTGACGGGTTTCATGTTGAAGTTGGATCAGGCGATGGCCTTATAGAGTGGTGTAGTTAGCCCAAGAGAAAACAAAAGAAAAAAAGAAAAAAAGAAAAAAGGTACACGAAAAGAAGAGTAACAGTGGGCTGACCAAGAAAGAAAGATGGGAGGAAGAGGATTTCGTACCTTTGAAATTCACGCAGGAATACTGGAAGGGTATTTGGTGAGTGTAAAGGGGAAGGTGGGCAGGGGCTAATCCTCTGGGAAACGAATATATTAATACGTTGGGAAGCAGCGGGCTTGATCCTGGTTGCTACTAGAGGGCAAGAATATAAGTCTCCCGTGCTAGGCAGGGGCGTGGTGAGGTTAGGTGCTGGATCTCGGCGATTAGCCTGGTGGGGAGCCTGCTTCTTTATACAGCTAAGACCGCCGGCATCAGGCGAACAGGCGACGTGGTCGAAAGTCGCCCCGTGCAGCCCGATTGGTCAGTACCTTTATTTGCTGCCTGGTCATAGGGTAACCTTGATGGAAAAAGGCACTCAATTTCCAGATAAGGATCAATCCAACCACTGGGCCTTCGAATTGAGTCTTGGAACACAGTCAGTGAGGACTCACCCTGTCACCGCTCTTACCCACGAAGGCAGACACACAGGATATTTTCATATCTGATTAGAATAGAATGCCCACTCGCAAGGGCATGGCAGGACTGGGCTCATCAATGTAACGTCAGGATTACAAAGGCACGGTCCAGAACTCCATTCTCAGACAATCATAATGCTCCGGACCGGTCCGATCTTGAAGTAGGGAAACAACCATTTTTAATCGGTTAGGGGTCCAGGGAGCTTAATTAAATTTAGGGCCTTGTGGGGTGTTGCTCTGTTGACATCCTTGATGCCTAGGTCGCGGAACCAAGTTTTTAATATAGCAAATCATGGTGCCACCACGGAGATAGTGTCAGGTAGAGGCCAAGCAGAGATATCGAGGCTCATGGCCTGCTCTCTCCTCTAAAGTTGCGACAGTAATTAATCACTCTAGTGGTATGGGGGCTTCCTTCGCTCTCCTTTTGTAATTAATGATGGATTCCGGAGGCGAGACTTCCATAGGGAAGCTTTGCCTGTTGTGAATAAGCGCAAGAAAAAGGACGCTATTACTCCCGTGTCTCAGTTCAAAGTGGCTAAGTCGTTAAGGGTTCGAGAGAAGCAACAGACGACAGGGGTGTTGATTGGTTGGCGGCGAGCATGATGGCGCTTTAGCGGCTCAACACACCGAGGTCTGTCCGATTGACTATAGGTGAGATAGTAACATACAGCAAGGTAGGGAGAGAACAGCTCTGGGAGACTAATCACATATCCTTAGACTGAGAGATAACCTGCCTGAGCGCAAAGGCTCTAGGAGAGGCTACTGGCCTAAGCCCTATATACAGTATATGTCGGTACAAAAAGCCTTAAAAGGCCAGTATGTTACTAAATAATTCTGGTTCTACATAGCTCAAGACAAGTAGAAAGACCAGAATGAGCAGGCAGCTTCGCCAGGCTATCCTCTTACTTTACTAAGAGACCTATACGGACATTCTCTAGCTGCATCACGCTACATAGATTGCACGACTAGTAGACCGGGGGATTGGTGCTGGGTTAATATAACCAGGGGTCAACTGGGACTGAGGTTGCGTTATACCTGCGGTTATCGAGCTCGCCAGCGCTCTTAGTCCCTAAAATCCTGCTCATCAAGATAAGGACCGAGTACGGTGATCAGTTCACGGGAGGCCGGAGGCCATAGGGTGTGAATGGTAGTATCCTCTCTCGGAATTAGACGCTCGTTTCTTTGCAAGAAGAGGTATAAAAGCTAAGACTATTCCCATCCATTCAAGATATATCAAGCTAGGTCTATCCTTACAACAACACAGTCTGATATCCAGTCCTTTCACTTACCTGCCTAGGAACGCACATCTCTCTACAATTGGTAGGCCCTCTTATCCTCTCTTCTGCCTCTTCTTCTTCTCCTCCCCAACTCGATAAGCATACTTGCCTTTCAGCATCTCTAGCCACCGCATCTAGGATGAAGCTCTTCATCACCATTATCAGCATGTTCGCCCTCTTCTCCGCGCTGACCCTCACCCCGTGAGCTGCGGAAGGTAACCCCGTCGTCGAATGCGGCGACCTCGATGTCATGACCGTCGAACCCGCCGACCTCCCCGCGGGCGTCGCCCCCAGCGACGTCCGTATATGCCTGGACCACCCGCTCGGCCGAAACCGGCACGTTAAGGGCGCATCGCTGGCGCCGCTCGACGCGGTGGATGCTTCGATCTACAACAGCACGGTGGACACAGACATCAGCCCCGTAGAGGGGGCTCTCTAGGACGGCCTCGGTGCGCTGCAGGAACGGGCGCGCTACAAGGACGCGCCGTATGGGTGCTCTGGTGGGTATTGCTGGAAGGCATGCGGAAACACGAACAAGGGCGCTTGGAATAAGTGTAGTAAGTGGCAGGACTGCGGAACTACGACGCATGCGTGTGGGAGGGGAGAGTGTCCGTCCTGTGGGTGCGGTTGCTAGCGGGAGGGCTGGGTTGAGGTAGGTAGTGTTATGATTCGGCTAGTAGGCGGAGGATGGACGATCTAGGACATGCCATCAAATTGGCCATAGGTATAATATACGGATATACTTGGCAGGCCTGGATATTACTGTGTTAGCTCGTAATGTTCGTAATGTCCATAAAGCTTTAGATTGATGACGGCTGCATCACATCTTTTTGGTTGTCAGGCTAGAGTTCAGAAAATGTCCTTCTACCATTTGCTCCATTCTCCCTACAGTATTGATGTACCATTTATTCTAGGGAAGTATCAAATCCTTGGTCAAAGTTGTCGGCATAAGCTTGCTAACGACGTTTGATGACGGCTAGTACAGTACTAAAACTAGTACTACAACGGTACTATGTAACTAATAGTACTAAAATTAGCTTAGCCCTATAGTACCTTGTAGTACTATATCGTAGTCGATAGATCCCGTTTTAAAGGACAAAAGACTCTTTATCTTTTATAGGTTTAAAGTTTTGCGTAGTTACCAGTTCGTAAACAAAGGGTGTATTCTAACTAGAATACGAAGTACGGAGGAGAAAGGAAAAGAAAGAAAGGAATCCCTAAGATAGGATACTTTGTAGGATCTTATCTTTACCACCTCTTCATTCGCTAGATGGCTTGCATAGAGGAGGCCGAGATTATTCACGGTCTGGAGTGTTGATATGAGTTATTTACACTATTGGTCCACATCTCTGCGCTGTGCTTGCCAAGACTCATAGTTCGGTATAGAGAGCGTTTGGCTATTCTTATTGCGAACCTTGCAAAACCAGCAGGGATCGTAAATCTAATCTACGGCGGAAAGGGAAAAAAGCTACATTATGACTGTCGACTACGGCTGGGATTGGATTCGGTGGCACCACGGTCAAACTTTTGTCTTTCAATTCTGTCGCGGCGGTCTCATGACTTGAAATCCCTTTTCTTTCTTCTTCTTAGGTGGTTTTAATATCTCTGCAGCCCTGACTGCCCACTCGCGCAGGGTGCTTCGACTTTCTTGGCTTTCTTCCGGCAGCACTTGCGAGATTGGTACTGGCGAGGCAAAGCCGTTGCCTGATTTCCCATAGAATAGATCGGACTCCCTCATGGAGTAGTCAACGTTGGGTCTGATAGGCACTTCCATAAACTCGTCAAACGAATCCTGGAATGAATTTGGCGGATGAGAATTACTGTATGGATTTTCAGCGGTTTCTTCATGCGAGTTATTGAGGGCAGATGATCGATTCGGTGGGTCTTTGTAGTGATGTCGTGGTTGCCTATAGAAGGTAGAGAAATCCGTAATGTGATATCTTTCGTGAGTTGGTGTTGAAGGGAAAGACCTCGTTGAATATTCAAGGGCATTGAAAGGCAAACTACATCTCCTTGAGGACTCCGAGCTACCGGAACCGGATAGTGTAGTGAAGTCCTTTTTCTGTCGATTTTCTCCCATCCTATTCAACGTAATCCCCATAGTTCGGTTCTCTGGACCAGAAGATGAAGACTGTCACAGCAAGTTAGGTTCCTCACCTGACGGTTGTATGTGATTGAATGACTTACCCCCGTGGTGTCTGACTTATTTCTTGGGTTGGATAGAGACCTTAGAACAATCCCAACGTTCCCTCGCAGAGCTTGAGTCAGCTGCCAAAGTGCAAAGAGAAGAAAACCGGAAACTATCATAATGCCATGTAAACATAGCATTATATAGCCGACCCATTGTTTAGTCGTTTCATTCGATGAACATGCGAAGGTGATACTCAGGCAAATGGTCAGAAGGCGGACAATAGCGCACCAAGCAGATATAGACAAAAAGAGCCTGCCACGGAGTGATATGCCCATATGCAGGAGAAGAATGATTTCAGTCCCCATCAGCAGGAGGACTTGCACCAAGCCCCAGTCTTGCAAACCACCAATCACAATTCCTTGTAATAGTGGTATTGCGGCTGGCAGATACTGCGACAGATACTGTCGAGGCTTCATTGAAGATCCGGCTGATCTGGCACCCTGGGAAAAGTCCGGAGACGAGCTATCGTTTAGCTCCTTTTGACGCTGAACGTGGCGAGTGATGAGAAAATTCGAATAAACAAGAACTGCGATCGACAATCCGACTAGAATGATGCGATAATTAGGCAGGTATCCAATGAGAATTAACTCGTAGGACAAGTAGGATAGCAGAGGAAGACTAGAGAACGACAGGGCCATGCCGATAATAATGCAACCTGCGTTCCATGTGACTGAAGTCAGGTGGAACCCCCCATTAAGTCGTGACATTATCAGACATAGGATCAAAGAAATGATAACGACAGCGAAGAGAAGAATTGAGAGGTTGATAAATGAATCAATCGTGATATCCGGCATCTGAGGAAAGCCAAGCGTTTGAGACATGTACTCAAGCCCGTAAGTCCCATTAGTGACATACATGCCATCTTCCACTCCAGGGTAAGTAAAACCATGGTTGATAGGGCCCATCCAATATAGAAGCGAAGACCAAGCCACTTGGCTAACTATCGGTTGATAGAATCCAGGGTACTTCAAAGTAAGCGAGCCAGCCAGAAAGATGAACTGCAGATACTGTAAATAGACAGCTAGATCGGAAATGACTTCCCACATTGGGCCCAGAATAGACCAGGCGGCCCTGCTTTCAATAAACGAAATCCATCTCAGTGCGTCATTTGCGTGTGTCTTCCATGAAGCGACGCCAACCAGGGCCATCACAACAGCAGGGAGATACGTGAATATCACAGAGGCTGCTGTGCCGATCTGCGGGGTGATCTTAGCTGCCACACAATCGAGCTGGGCACCATCTTGTGTCTTGAACCTAATCTCTGCAACGGCAGTTTGGAGCCGACGGGCATTTCCAAAAGAGTACAAGATCTCGTAATTTGAGAAAAGTGTGCCTTCCTGACTAAAGGGACACTTCAGCTGAGGGGACATAAGAGGTGAATTATTTTTGTCAGATGAATCGACAACACTTACGGTGTCAGGGTCTCAGTGATCGGCAGAGGGCACTCGCTGTGAAAGCTTTCCATTTGCCCAACTGGGATACCGAGCACATGGAAGCGAAAGGAAGTCTCAAGCAACGGTAGGTCGAGATTGCTACATGTGAAATATGTTGTGTTGTGGATCGCCAGTATCGACAATGAGAATATTGTCGGGCTCTCAAATTTACCACGGAGGCTGTCGATGCGGAATGGGGTATCCCGTGGGTCACGTAACTCAGACGAACCGCATTGAAACTTGCTAACCCATCCAGCTTCACAGGCTAGGATATTGAGAGTAAAGATGAGGACTAGCATCCAAGAACGTGATCTGAGTTGCATGGCGTACTGAGTTTCGGCAGCGCACCAGGACTAGTAGATAATCATAGGGGCATGGTCCCTTTTTTTTCAATGGTTGAGATTCCCAGGAGAAGGTTTTCCCGGTTTTCAGAAATCCATTGGCTAGTCGCCACAGGGCCAAGGCCAAGTGTCCAGGGGACGCGCTAGAAGTGCTAAGAGTCACGTGCTATAGAAAAGGCAGATGAGATTCTGTTAGGGTCGCATGGTTTTCATTGGGTAGTAATAATTACTAGCTAAATACAGAATGCATTACCTCAGCGCCAAGCAAGGGCTTGGCCCAGAGAAAACCCCTTAAAGTGCTTTAGTAGGAACAGGCACTCGCTACCAATGACTTGGCCGAGTGCCAAGAAATTATGGCCTGAGGCATCCAGCAAGTTGCTGCCTCGGGTACTGGGAGTAAGCAAACCCTGCAAACCTCTCGGGAGCATAATTAAACATAACCGGAAATTCATTATGCCCTGTACAACAATTTCACAGATGGAATGTAAGCTAAATGAATCTCGAAATTATATCAAATAGATTAATACCACAAAAAGCAACCAAATGGGACTTCGTCTGATTTACAGTATGCAAAGAAAAGGAGCTCCACTTCTGCCCTTGTAATCCCTCCAGTTGGTCATAGGAAGAAGTTCCCGAATCGTGTCTTGTATGCGGTCGCCAGACTTTCGACATGGACGACGACTTGTCGACAAGGTATTATGCTGAAGGGTAGATTTTACTGATCCATGGCTTCTACATGGATATATCCCACATTGGAGGTATTTCTCGAGAACGTAGAATTTAGCAGTATTTCCTGGAGACGGTTGAAACATGGCTTGTTTTAGACGGTAGTTGATGTACTCTTAGCCTTGCTTTCCCGACGTCCGTATGTACTCCAGTATACTTAGATCGCAGCAGGGCTTCTTCCCGGATATCGGTCCAAAAATTAGCTTGTCACCTCCGACCATAGTCGTTGCTCGTCTCTTAACTCTAGCAAAAACTTCACCTCTTCTCAAGATTACCGCGAGCGCCTAATACGCTTTCGCTAGGCTTCATTGCGACTATTACGAGATAGTTAGCGAGTATCGTAGTAGCTTAGTCAACCGCCCGTCTCTATCTAGATCTGGTCCCATTACCCCAATGGGACCCCAATGGGACTCATGGCACTCCCAGATGGTCCCACGCTAGCATATATTTGCCAAGGATTTCCTATTTCGGGTACATAAAGTAATCAGGTAAAACATTTAATTAACTACAGAAGAAATTTCTACATAATGTGTATAAGTCACGTTTTTCTATATGTTTGCACTGTTTACAGGCCCGGACTAGCATGTCACTCTCATCTCTTGGCACTCCCATGGGACTAATTGATGGGAGTTGGCAAGGTCTATACTTAGCTACGTATATTAGAGAGGAGAAGGAAGTATATAGAGGATGATATACAGTCTTGTTAATATATATATACTAGAATTAAATCAATATTTATTAAAATTTATCAAATTTAGAGTAAACGATATAATCGAAATACTCAAAAATTACTCAAAATTTCTATATTATTTATATAGTCACTAGAAAAGCATGACTCTACTTCAGAATTCCTATGATGGTGACGACTGTATGTGGAGTCCGGAACTGAACCTTTCATTCTCGTCAGAGATCATATTTGCGTGTATGTCAACAATCACTAATGAAGAAATTCACAGCAAACCATAATTATACAAACGTTAGCCATCTCGTGCGCCTTGCGAACAATCTGTGCCTCTCTCACAGTCTCAGCTCCACTCATGGGTGCTTCATCCAAACGCAGTTGGAGCAAAAAGCCTTCCACCAAGCCTTTGCTATGGACAAATCCATTGCTACTCCTAGTGGGCGACCCCCGCAACTGGCTTGGCAATTCAATCAATGCCCACTGCCACTGGATTTGAGTGACGAGCAACTCACATTGCCGAGAAATGATCTAGCCCTTGCTCTCAATCTACTGGATCCTGATGGTTGGAATATTGGGGAAAGGTCTTACTCAGTCAGCTATCTACGGGCACTATCATGCTTGGTCGCTACCGAGAAGAGATACCGGAACTCACAATTCGGTCTACGGTAGAGGTATTGGATAACAAGCAACTGTAAGTCGTGAGTATCCTCGAACAGCGGGTGGAATGCTAAATATAGAGTTAGAGATATTGTACAACGCTTACAAGCAACTTATAACGGATTACCTTCACGGCTGCGGTGCAATCCAAGCCACCATGTTCACCTAGCACCATTCGACTTTCTCAATACAATATTCCTGCATCTGGAATATCAAAAAAGTATTTTCCTGTTGTACCGACTATGACGGAGTGTACCCTTGAGCCAGAACAAAATATTGTTGTCCTCCGCCAAGGTGATTATCAATGTGATGATCATGATCTACACCAATCGGGACCGCTTCGGAGAGATGTTCCTCTTTTTCCTTGGGCGGTCATGTCTTATGGTGCTCCTGCTGCAGCCATTCTCGCCATGGAATTATTTCTTCGACCCCAGTGTCTTGCCCTCATGTTCGATATAACTGAGATCCATCCCCGATCGGAGATCATTCAGCAGCTCTGTGTTTTTACCAGTTGTTTGAACAGTATCCCCAAAACTGAAGGAAATCATGCTCCCTGCCGTCGAGTGGCAAATACTCTTCGCAACGTCCTTGATCAAGTTTTTGAATCACTAGCCAGGACAATGACAACCGCTAGCAGTGTTTCTTTCTACAACATCGCCAGCGACGGACGTTGACCCGGATATTGGACTAGATATCAACTGGCAAGCCTTTGCTACGGGTCCTTCCGACCAGACTACACCCAGTGGATAGATCACAGCGCCTGGATAGAGATCGCTGATCCTCTGGATTTCCAAATGCAGGATCTTGGGCTTAGAATCCCCTGTGATGCTTATGTACTTCAGCCAGTTCAAGTCCCTACAAAGTAATATATATGTCCCCGAGAGCGTTCCTTTTAGTCAACTCTAATTCTTTTGATTCTTCATAAAGGATTCCTGCTAAGAATTTCCAGACAGCCACCGAGGATGCTTAGGATTGAACATGGGCGTGCGCCACTTGATAGAACAGATGACCTGGTATTTAAGGAATTTGATCTAGCCATGCATCTCCAGGGCGGAATATGCCGTTTGCCCAGGCAAAGCATCGTGACCTGGCGAGTTCAGCCGCTAGGGGGCAAGATACCCCGCTTCAACCCGTGTACGAAATATAATAAAGACAAATTTTCTAACATTTCAATCATTTTCCACTAAGGAATTCCCAAAATGGCAACTCTCAAAGCCTTAGACAACCCCGATCTATATACGGTCGGGTGGATGGCAGGCCTAGTCATTAAGCGTGCAGCAGCAATTGTGATGTTTGATGAGCGTGGTTAGACCTCTACATAGCCCGTAAAGCCCATAGCCCAACCCAACCCAACCCACTAATGGTTGGGCTTTGGGCCCACCCTTCGAGCCCATCGGCCGGGCTATGGGCCCTCATTATTAACCAAACAATACAAATATGCCAATTTATCGCAGCTATATGATGAATGCATTTGTTTCCTATTGTTTGGGGGGTATTGAAATTACCACTAATTGATTTTATTTTATTTATAAGATATTAAGTAATAGATACTAGGAAAGTAATAACTACATAACTACTAGGAGGCCGAAAAATAAGAATTAAAATTGATTTTCTAAAGCTTTACTTTTTTATGAGAGGTACTTATTTTTATTAGGGGTTTACATAGTAAGTAGAGGTACTATAATTATTACTACAATTGACCATAGAAAGTGGTATTTATCCTCTATACAACATAGATAATATATATCTCTTTATACTAATACTTAGTAATTCCTTCTAGGTGCGAATTCATGGTCAAATTGGATCTATTTGGGGTTATTTCATATGAAATTTTGTATGAAATCTAGTATTATTATGCTAAAATCAGTATAAAATCTTAATTCCTACTTCTTACTATGATAATATAATAAAACTGAAGATATAGATTAGTACCTGCGTAAAATACAGTCATTAATCGTCTGCTTCGTGTATACTAAGACTATATTTGTGCAAGAAATGGGCTTTTGATGGGCTTTGATAGGCCCCCATTAATGGGCTGTGGGTTGGGCTGGGGGTCTGGGCCCATTGATGGGCTATACAGAGGTCTAAGCGTGATGATCAGCCGTGCACCTTCCTTTACTCAACACCCTGCGGATTCAAACCTATGCACTGGGGAAAGATGGGTAAGCATAACATTGTGATTGCCTCCCTTCCTGTTGGGTTGTATGGGACCGTATCTGCTGCAGCTACCGCAATGAGCATGCTTTCATACTTTCTGCAAAATTAGCCTGTTTGTTGGAATTGGTGGCGGCATTGCAAGACCTACAAAAGGTTGTGATATCCGGCTTGGCGATATCGTCGTAAACCAGCCGCAAGGAACCACCGGATGTATAATTCAATATCATCTGGGGAAACCTAGGTCCCATGACAAATATGAGTGGACAGGCTTTCTCACCATGCCTCAGCGAGTCGTTCTCAACGTAGGGAGCCTCCAAGCAGAATACGAACTAGAGGAATGGAAGGGGACACGAGCTACTGAGAGGAATGCAAAAACTTCAAAGGGGCCCCGGTAGGTATTCTTATCAAGGGTCCGAGAATGACCGACTCTTCAAAGCCCCCTACAATCATATCGATAGGCATGACAGCCGCACCCTCGATAAAGATGAGAGAGTCTTACGCGAGAAGCGGGACACGACTAACCCTGTCGCTCATTACGGAACTATCGCGTCTGGAAACTGTTTCGTGAAGGATGCTGTTACTCGCGATAGAATTTTAGAGGACCTTGACGGGGATTTTATCTACTTTGAGATGGAAGCGGCTGGCCTAATAAATCACTTCCCGTATCATACCATTCGCCGCATCTGTGATTATACCGATTCACACAAGAACGATCAGTGGCAGCGCTATACTTATATAGTTTCTGATGCCTACGGCAAAGTGCTCCTTAGATATATTCCGACTAACAGCCTCTACGAGTCACAACGGGCTATTGGTTTGCTTGAATCGAGTTAGTTAGCGGAAGATGGCTTTTATGGCAATGCACTACATGTCGCCTCCATTGGGAACCGTAGTGAAACCATGAAAATTATTGATGCAGCAAAAGAAGTGGCGAGCGCTCTCTGCTCAACCTTCTACGACTTTTCCATATTGTACGGGGGTGGAATTCACGGAAGTCTTCTCAAGTTAGAATAGCCCAGCCGAGATATTAGTGATGGTAGTGATTCGGAGCACTCTATTATATCTATTTTTAGATATCGAGACAGTCCATCGCATTGAAACAATTAACGATTGAACTTCTTTAGCTCCAGCCATCGCAGTCCCGGATATACTAGCATGGCCCACGACGAACCAACCCAGATACCGAGATCCGAGCCATTCTCGCCAACCATCTTGGCAATCGGACCAACGAAGTATATCTCGTCCATAGAAATAATGGAGCCAACCCAGCCGATCAAAAAGGCTGCCAGCGCAGCAAGACCAAGGGGTAATTTCGAGCGATCGCTCCAATCCGCCCAATCATAGCCTCTCGATGGGCGGAAGAGGAAATGTTCCTCCAGAGAAATTACAAGATAGATGCAAACCCAGTAGCCCATCAGAGCGAGCCAATTCTCAAAAATCTCGGATAGGCTATTCTGACCGGCTAAAGCACAGACAAAGTAGATGATGACGCCAACGCAGGTCCACACCCACCGGGGAACCTTGGCCGGGTAGCGACCCAGCATCTGGAAGCCTAAGGATGCGGAGTAAGTTCCCGCGACATTGTTCGCGATCTGACCCAGCGCAATTAGAACGCCTAGGAACTTGCCGAAGCCGCCCAGTCCGTTGTAGCCGGCGAGGATCAAAGAGCCGTTGGAGATGGCGTCGGCAGCTTTCCAGTCGGCATGGGTCGCCACGCCCGAGCCGAGGCCGACACCAATCAGGTTGGCAAAGGTTAGAGCTAGACCAACACCGAGGAAGGTCATGAGGAAGGTTTTCCACTTCTTCGTGTTGGGAGGGAAGTAGACATAGAAGTCTGCACCGGCCGGAGCCCAGGCGACTGATGAGGAGAGACACAGTGAGAAGAAGGAGAGGCGATTGCCGGCGATTGTTTGCGCCGAACCTGTAGATACAATTGAAGTGTCGAACTTGGGGCCAGCGCTACCGACAAGGACGAAGGCGGCGATGAGCTGAGGGACCCAGGCCCATCTGTCAACGGTTTCGGTTAGTATTTCGGCTCGGGCTAGACCAGGGAATGGTGAAGGGGAAATGCGTACCGTTCATATATATAGAATATCTTCATGCCGAACAGGACCACGACCCAGGTGACGATGACGACGATAACCACGCCTACAGACACGGTCATGTTGTTTCCCGCGACGGCGGAGAGGACTTGTCCACCGACAATACTGTCGACCATACCGTACCCCAGCATAATGACGATATTCAGCAGAGCGCATATCTTGCTGGGATAGTAACCCATGAAATACCGAGCCACGACCTGATTTGCATAAGTATATCAATATACCGGTTGGCACGTGCGCGATTGGCTCAAAATCATACCATAGTTCTGTTTCCACTGGCAGGGCCAAATGTTCCCATGTATGCAACACCAGCAGCGCCCAGCAGAGCGCCGAAAGTGGCACAAAGGGCGGAGTCGACAAAGCCCAACCCGTAGCTCGACGGACCGAGTATACCAACGGCCATGTTGTTCGCCGTGATGTTGACACTGAACCACATCAGAGCCATCTCCATATAGTCCGCCGAGGTTACTTTGGGCTTGCGCTCATCGAGCGGGACACGTTCGATACCGCGCGTCTCGAAGAAATTCAGCTGGCTCAGGCGGGCATTGAAGCGCTCGAACGCATTTTTCGGCGGGTGCAGTGTCGAGCTCGGCTGCGATTTAACTGGCGTCGAAAGCTGAGAGTTCTTCTCTTCGTCTCCCATAGGTTGATCCATGATGCTTGGATGAGAGCGGAAGTGAGTATGCAAACCAAAAGCCTGGGAGAACGCGACCAGGGGGGTCGGATAAAGGATTTGAAATAACCTTGATGGTGCCTGTAGAAGCGTAGAAAGAGAGTTTTGGCAGGAAGTGATCCCTGTCAACTCCGAGGGGAGTAAATAGGCGATGCTATTAGCCGGATGTAACAACAGCCGGAGATTGGGTGGATAGTGGGAGATGGTGTTATGGTTTGTACAATGGCATTATTATTCAGTAATTGCCGAGTACATCCCTCACCGCTCTTTTGATCATATTTTCACTGCACTAGTGATTGCAACCCGGACAAAGTTCAGTTTACGGAGTAGGAATTGAAGAGTTTGACAGAGAAAAAGTGGTGTGATGTGCAAATAATAACAAGTGACTGTCTTGTTACCTATGGAGGTCCGGAGTACGGAGTACTTCCGGCTAGACCCGTGGCTTGGCCCCCACCACTACCCATGCTTAGCAGCGCCACTAGGCTTGTGCTCTAGTTCACAAATGGCCATAGCTGGGGTCCACAGCCAATTTACGTTTTCCGCCCCTCCGAAATACAATTTTAGCACCCACATTTAATGTATTCTGTACCAAATTCGTATGTCTCATCCAAGGTTGACAATATCCGGCCGGAACCTTCGAAGGAATGCCGTAGATCTTATTCGTCGTCCCACGGAGCAAATACCTCTCTTCCCCACTCCAAACCTTCATCAGAGACGCCAAAACCAATGTACATGAGAGACCGGCCCCAATCCATTACTCAACTTGGAGGCCTAAGCTGAAACGCCCAGTCTGGAATGTTGCTGGGAATTAAACCACTAAACTCCGGAGCACCATCCGCGAATGTAGGCATACGATATCGAAACCTGCTCATTGGCCGCGTCACGCGACCAATCCTCCTCATTGGTGGCTTTGATTGTCGGCCCCCGGTAAGCACGAGGCAAATGCCGATATTGTTTGGTGGGTCGCAGTCACTAGATACAGGGCTCAAAAAAAAAAGAAAACCTGTTATATGGGGTTATTTAGTTTATTCACCACCCTTAACGCCTTAAGATTCCCATGTAGCTCGGTCAGGGGAGGGTCGCTACCCCATACTCACAACCATGTCCAACCAGGGTGGTGGTTCAGTACATGACTTGATTGTCGAGTCATGGATTATGTATGCCGTGGGAATCTTGTTCTTCATCGTGCGACTGTTAGTGCATTCTTCGGACTCGGTAGCTGAATTTACCACTGATTCGATCGCAGTTATGCTCGGTACAAGCGTCTGAAGTTCCACCTCCAAGTTGAGGATTATTTGATGTTTTTGGCAATCGTGCGGATCAACTATCTCCAGGTTTACCCCCCGCGATCGTATGAGGCTAACTGTCTCATGTAGATCTTCTACACTGCGTTTGTAGTCACGAATATCGAGATCACCAATTATGGGAGTACCTTGTACGAACCGGGTCAATTTGAGACATTCACTGCTCATGAAATCGAACAACGGGTCTTGGGCTCGAAGATCGAATTTGCCTCGGAGCATGTGAGCGGTCCTCCACAGGCTGCAAAGGACCCCTTCTAACTCACTTTTTCAGTGCCAAGTATGCACCATCTATTGCCTGAAGGCGTGCATGCTGTTGGTATATTTCCGAATTACGTGAGTTAAGACCAAGCAATTGATATACTCAAAAACTGATAAACTGTAGATCAAACCTCAAGCAACATCGATGGGTCAAGGTATCCGCCGTCTATACCGCCCTTGGATGGCTGGCCACCGAATTGACCTTGTTCTTGAACTGCCACCCGATATCCGGATACTGGACATTGCCGCCGCCTCAGCGCGAATGTGCCACATACTTCCACTTCGAGATTGTCCAGGCAGTCTTCAACATCAGCTCGGATATTGCAATTCTGCTGGTAGTTCTGCCGCTGCTGTTTCGAACGCGCATGCCGTGGCGGACTAAGCTTCCGGTTTTGGTGGTATTCTCCATGGGTATTGTGGTCGTAAGTTTGTCCATGTTTTCTCCTCCCACATTACCACCCGACAATGCTAATTGATGTCCAGATTCTCTGCGCCATCATTTCCAAAATATTCACCTTTCGCAACATTTACGACACAAGTTACCAATTCTGGTACCTGCGTGAAGCTTCAATCGGTGTCTGGGTAACCAATGCCCCTTTCGTATGGTCTTTGGCTCGCTCGACCCTCAGCTTCCTAAAGTCAACAACCAACCCGACGAAAACCACACCCCAGTATAATTTAAGTGGGCCTGGGACCTCTACCAGTCGGGTCCGGGCTGGGGCAGAAAGTCGAACATCTCGCGCACTAACCAGAATGTATGACATAGAACCTGTCGGTGAAAGTGAAGAGAGTATCATTGAGATGGATGGGAGGAATAAAGCCCCCTATATATCAAGTGGGTCGATCGACGACAGTGTACCATCGACCTCAGAATGGGGCGAATCGTCACACCGGAATGGCTCACCCGGGGAACATGACGGTCATATTTGGAAAACGACCGAAATTACTGTCGAGAAGAGCTAGATAATAGACTTTAATGATTTCGGGATGTTCCTTTTTTTTTTAGGGCTATGGTGACCTTTTGACAACATGTCTTCACCCTGAACTTATTACTAATATGTACGAGTAAAAGCACAGGCATTTAACCAAACAACCTTGTTTGAGCAACTAGATTCGGCTTGCACCGCAAGTTTCGCTTTTGCTTGTTCAGATGGGGAACAATTTGAAACCACTATAACTACCAGACACGAGACTTTCTTATGAAACGATTGAATAGAAACCACAACACCACTTTTCGTCTGGCTAGATTTCAAAGTACTCCTTTTACACTCTATCCGCGAGATACGGATCTAAGACTAATCCCCTAATGTGGATATAGTCTGGAAAAGAGGCCTCCCCTTGGTCTAGGTCCATACTCGCATTATGGTCAAGGTACCAAAGCTTGGAAATTCAGAGAGGAACAATTTAGAAAGACGAATTAATCCAATCTTTTCGCAACAATCCTTTCTACATTGTCGAGGTGTACAACGTTGGAGAGATTTCCCCCTCCTTTTGGACTAGCGTCTCCACTATGTTCGGTCCCTGCCAAGACGATCTAAACATCGGAGCCAAAACAAACCTGGGCGGATCCTTTCCTTCTTACGGAGTACACGGAGCACTCCAGGGCTGGTCGTGCTTTGGGAAGATCTTAGATCTCTGCTGATCACTTCCTATCTTGATGTTGAGGTAGAATGCAGATATTCTCGAAAATATGAATCGAAGCAACTTTGAATGAGCATGAGGCGCCTCTTTTATAGCCTGTGGACTTTGTTGCCGCTAAGAACCTTGACTAGACTAATTTAGCACCTGCGCCCGCGGATTCCTCCCTCGTCAAATTTTAAGCCCCGGGCTTGCCATGACTCAAAGCTTCGTTGTGTTTTTTTTTTTCGTTCTGTTTTGTCTTCAACCTCGACTTTACTCTCTTGCATCTGACCTTCATCCACCTCGCGTCTATGAACATGCGCAGTGGGTTGGCCTGCTTCCTCAGCTTGGCTGGTGTAGCCTTGACCAATGCTGCATTCGGTGTGGAGAAGAGACACGGCCCGGCGGTTCTCGCGGTACCAATGGTACGCGACACTGCACCTCAGCTCTCCAGGCGATCCAAGGGTGTCGACGTCAGTCTGAAGAATGAGGAAGTGAACGTACGTCCAATGCTGAGAATTAAATTGTATTGAGATACAGGCTAACCTCGCTTTCCAGTACGTATCATATGTCGCAAATGTGACTTTCGGCACCCCACCGCAGAATATCCTAGCATACTTCGACACATGGGGTAATGGCTGCTGGCTGTATAGCGTGGATAACTCCGATTGCGATCTCTACGTGGACCACGCTTCTTGTGGCGGATATGGCGCCTACAACCTTACTGCTTCAACCACCGCCAAAAGGCTTGATGATGAATTCGCATATGATGATTCTGGTGCAATGACAACTGGGGACTTCGTGACCGATGTTCTGAAAATTGGCGGTGTCAAGGTGGACACTATGAAGATGGGAATCATCACGGAGCCTATCATCACTGCTAGTACGTCTGTCTAAACCTATCCGGTATAATCACTAACATGGACGATTTCAGATACCTTGAGTCTTGGATACGGAAATGCATCTTCCATCTCCCTAACCCAGGCATTGGCCGACGCGGGTACCATTAACTCTCCGGCTTTCAGTCTTTGGGGCCAGACAGCTCTGTTCGGCGGCATTAACAAGGCCAGATACTATGGCCCGCTCTACACTTTCCCCATCGTGAAACGATCAGATCTTCCAAAAGCTCTCCGTGTCAATATGGATGGCATCTCAATCAACAAAACATCCGCGGCGTCTACGACGTTCCCACTAGACGCTGTCTTCGACACTGCGGTGAGTATGAGCTACGTGCCCAAGTCCGTCGCTCAGGCCCTGAATGCCCAAATTGGCAACACCTCTGTGCCGGATGAGCACGGACAAGTCAACTTCTCCTGCAGTGCAATGGGTGAGAACTCGACGATAGAGTTCAAGTTCGGGAAATTGGAATTCCAATTCTACCTCAGCCAGTTCGTTAGCCAACAAAGTGATATCGCGACGAATGATGGGTGGTATTCTGATGAGGAAACGTGTTATTTCACGATCTGTGAGAACGTTCACCTTCAATATGAGGGAAGCATCGTCTTGGGTTCCAATTTCATGAGCACAGTTTATGCAGTTTTTGATCTTGAGAACGATGAGATCTCATTGGCGAACCTCAACTGGTGGGAGCACAACCCGGACGATATTGTTGAGATTACGTCGGGCAAGAATGGTGTACCTGGGGCGAAGAGTGGTGCGTCTGAATCGAAGAGTGGTACATCTGGGGCGGAAAATGGTACTCCTGGGGCGACGAAGGCTTCAGCTGGTACGCACATCGAAAAGGGCCTGGGAATGATGGCTGTCCTGGTCGGTGCTGTGGTGATGCTGAATTTGTGAATTCAACATTGTTACTTGTAGTTAATATCCTTACCTTTCACGATTAATACGTTGTTCATGCCTTATAATTGTTTATATTTGTAGTACTAGTCTGGATCAAATGATGAATTGAGCTTTTATGCCACTGTGCCCCTCTCAGAGAGTAACAATATCTGAGGTCTCGACGAGCCTGGAATACTCAATTTCTGAGAAGTTACCAACCAAATACAGGTTTAGGTTGATAAACCAACTGACTCTTTGTTTATGACACCTCGCAAGCTCGGAGGTAGGAAGAGGAAAAAAGCATGAGCCGGATCCTAGACAACCATCAACGATGTGATCCTTTTACCATTCCGTGACTTCTCCAAACACCTGTTCGTCCACCTCCACCTCCTCAAATAGGTCCATGGCCGCTGGTCAAAGTTGCGCCAATCGGTCCTCCAGGGCTGGAGAGTAAGTTGACGACACTCTGGATGGGTTCGGTAAAATCATAAGTTAATAAGAGGCTGGTATCTCATCTAAGTCACCCGTGAGTCTCTGAGTATTTGAATACGCCTCTCCTCGTGCTCCTGGGCACGAAATCGTAGGATAATGAGTTCCTCTAGTTCCTCGTCACTGAGCGAGCGTATTGATTGGGCTTCTTCTGTCATTGTGTTGTCCTTTCGTTCTGTGTGAAACAGTGCTGGTTAGAACACTCACCCCACACCCCACATCCCGTGGATGACAGGAATGATATCGTATTCATTTTAACGCAGTGTTTCAGCCTTAGTGGTTTGGTACGGAAGATGAAGAAGAGGAATGAGTGACATGGGGACATGCATATAGTATTATTTTATAACGGGAACGAATAGGCTCATTGATTGGTTATTGCATTTACCGGTTGGATCCTGAATATACATTTAAAGCTCAATATATACATGCAGCTAGTGGGTATTCCGTGTGAATATATTTAATGGTGAAAGGAAAGTAAAAGCATCTATACTCCCAGCTAAAATACACAATGTGCATTGCAAAATGAGCTGTATCTCTTCAACAATGGAAGTGAAAGAGATTGCGAGGGTCATGTAAAAATACAAAGAAATTCAAATCCGCCTCACATGGCTTGGTATCGCTGTATCTGACTATCCAGTCCTCTATTCCTACATGTTATCGTGTAACATTATAAGGAACAAGTATGGATGAGTTTTGACTTACATTTCTTCCATGTTTATATGGGAAATACTTGTCTTCGATTCCCTCACGTTCGGCAGTGTTCGGGACTTGGACAGAATATCAATTATAGGTTCAGTATCAGAGGAGGTACATCTTCCAGTAGGAGATTATACCCGTGAAATTCTCCCTGCAAGTTGATACGGGGTCGGGCTTGAGGACGGACCACGAGCAAGACTGAAGGCGCGAGGCGGTCCCGGTCTTTCTAGCGGACCCAAGCACATCTTTGGCTTTCCAAATTGGGAAAGCAACCCTAGAGTCACTAATCGCCATAGTCTTTAATGGATCCGATATCCAATAAGAACAGATAGACTAGAACGCTAGACCGAAGTTGGAATAGCAACATCCCACCGGGAACTAAACCGCATTGTCTCCCCAAAACCCACAGCGGGGTCGCTATGAGTGGTGATTGGTGAATGATCAAAATTCCACCGGGAACGCCGAATCCGAACGTCGAGGCTATCTACGTACTTTGTAGGGGGATGTTGCTTACAAAGAAATTTAGAACGCGAGAGAGCTGTCGACATTGTCTTACCATACGGGCAGACTTTAGTGTCTTGAAAAGGTCATCTTCATAATCTCTGCTTGTAAACGCCGTTTGTTTTTGTCTTGACTGCGATTGCTATACTCGTTGCGTACCTCTTGCTATTACCTGTATCACGTCAGCAGACCAGGGTTACTACCACGTCATCAAACCACGGTTACTATCACTTCTATCGCTGACACAATTACCCCTCCTAGAGCCGTTGCAGCTATGTCCCTTGACACGATGCGCGCTATCGTGATGCACGAGATAGGTGGACCTGGAGTATTGAAGCTACAGACGCTCCCCAAACCAACTCCCACAGCGGGACAAGTGCGCATACGCGTCAAGTCTTTTGGGCTCAACCGATCGGAGGTATTTACGCGTCAGGGTCATTCACCTGGTGTGACATTCCCCCGTGTTCTGGGTATCGAGGCAGCTGGACTTGTCGACTGTGCAGCCCCGGACTCGGGCTTCGAAGCTGGCGAGGCCGTTGTCACTGCAATGGGCGGCATGGGCCGCGCCTTCGATGGCGGATATGCCGAATACACAGTAGTGCCAGCTACACAAGTGCGACGCGTCAATGTCACCACTGCCTTTGGCCCTGATCGGCCCGTGCCTTGGGACGTCTTGGGTGCTCTTCCTGAACTTATGCAGACGGCTTGGGGATCCTTGTTCACCAGTCTTGAGCTTGTTCCCAGCGACCGCTTGCTTATCCGAGGCGGAACTACCAGCGTGGGATTGGCTGCCGCGGCGCTTGCTCGATCACATGGAGTCTCTGTCACTGCGACAACGCGGAACCCAGCACGTGTAGAGTTCTTACGTGGCCTCGGTATCGACGACGTCATTATCGATGGTGGATCAATCTTGGCCGAGGTCCAGAAACGCGCCCCGTTCAGCAAAATCCTTGAACTGGTTGGGGTAAGCACGTTAAACGACTCTCTGCGATGTGTGGCCCCAGGTGGTACTGTCTGCATGACGGGTATCGCTGGCAATAAATGGACCTTTGACCAATTCAGTCCCATGGAATCGATACCGACGTCCGTTAAACTGACCACCTATGCGAGCACCACAGAGGCTGTACTGAAAACACCAATTGAGGAGATTGCTCGAGATCTGGCGGCGGGCAAGATACGGTTGCCGATCAAGACTTTTCCGTTGGAGGAAATTGTGGAGGCTCATCGGTTGATGGAAGAAGAGGGGGCATTGGCTAAGATTGTGATGATTGTTTAAGGTTGTTGGGCTCGGCTTCAACGTGGACTGTAGTATCTATCATATATGTAATCCAATACGCTTGGACAAAATATCTGTGCTCCATCCGCTTCTGTTTCGTAGTCTGTGAATTTTCGGCTGATCATAGTTTTATGTTTTTTCTTTGTTTATTGTGTTCAAGATTAGGGAATTGATATACGATGGTATCAACATAGCAGAGGTCATTGACCATATAGCCAAATTCTCTACTCATCGCAATACACGTTTCTAGTAGCTTGTTTCTAGTAGCTACCGTTTTTCATTTACGAGACTATCCGCCTAATATCTGCGGGATCTAAGACCTACCATCCTTCAACGGCAGCCACGGTGCATACACGGGGTGAAGGTTAAGGATGCTGGTTGGCCCTTGAGAATTGGCTTAGAAGACTTGATTAGAAAGAGAAAATCTCCCACAATCGGTCAATCGAGTACGCGGGCTTTCAGTTTCGATATTAAACCTTCACCCCCAAGGAAGACGGTGGTAAGTATTCCTCGATATAAGTCCTCTAGTAGTCGTGCCAGTTAGGACCTCCTTTTGCAACATCGTCCAACTAAAAGGACCTATAAGGATGCAGGTTAATGTAAGTATATATGTAAGAGCGCATGCCTTACTAATACACAAGTTTATCTGATTCCGCACCTTGCAAAACCATGATGTGCACACAAAAGCCCATCCTTCTTGCGATTGATTCTGGCCTTAGATTCCCAGTTCCATGCTATGCTCAACAGTTCTGGAAATATTTGGAAAGACACTGAGGTCATTGGACAGTTGCAGACTTTGAAGCATCCATGATAACCTTAAGTATGGCTCCACGACAGACGGCAGTGCGCCTTTTCGGCCGGGACTAGGATTAGTATAGTCCACAAACAGCTATTATAACAAGAAGGCTTACGCTCCATCGGCAACCGACTGATGAATATCGATTCCGCGATTGGAATATTTGGCCTCGAGGCACTCATATGTATGGGGGCTGGACCCAAGGCCTCCGGCAAGAAGGATCCCCTTAGTGTAGCATTAGCACCCTAGACCTGATAGCATAAAACCTCTGCTTACCGTCACATTGAGTCCTTTGTTGTGAGCCTGGCTAAGTTGGGTGTCGACTAACTTCAGGAGGCCTGGAACGGCCTTGGTGTGAAATGCCTTCCGAATGTCTGACCTGCGGTTTTGTTAATCGAACGCAACTAGTGTGTTGAATGAGGCCTACCCAGTAAAGTAGATATACCCCGGCTTGATATGGGCCTTGCGGGATACATCCATCTTAAGGTCAGGTAACATAACTCTTAGATAGTTATCGGGGCCGTTCCTTTCAGTATACCGTGGCTTGATACCGTACTCCCATTCCTTTGTTAGCATAGTCATGATATCCGCCCGCCTGAAGTGGGACCAGTTGCGGCCAACGCGATTCTTGCATTGTGATATGAAGGCTTCATCGATAGAGATGCCGCCACACAAACTGCCTAAGCACCGTTAGCATCTTGCCAGTTTGGGTATCTCTCTGAATGAACAAAGGATATCATTCGCTCACCGTCACTCTCGACTACCTCTTCTAATTGGAGTGGCTGATTGTCTGCAACTATGTAGGTGATAACGTCCTTGTAATTTCGTTAGGTGATTAGCTGGCGCCACCTTGTAAAGCACCTTCTACATCACAGCATCGAGTGCCACTTACTACGGTTCCACCTCCGGCATCGCAAACCACAAACACGTCCCCAGATTCGACATAGTCTCCGCGATCAACTAGTGCTGCCAGTCCGGCCGCCTCGGGCTCGGAGACAAAGGCCAGCGAAGTCTGACCGGCCGTGCGGTAGTCGAGGATGCCCGCCTTGCTGGCAGCCCTTTTCATAGCATTTCGGGCATAATCTTTCCACGTGGCGGGCACAGTGAGGACCACATGAAATGTTAGAGCCTCAATGCCGCGCTTAGCCCGTGCCTGGCGAATGGTCTCAAGGGTATGTTTCCAAATCGCGCGGAGGTAATCTGCAATGCAATCCTCGGTCGTGATCCCATTATCGCGCAGTGTCCTCTTGGTATGACTAAGCTCCATTGACTCTCCAACTTTGTCTTCTATGTCGCCCTCCCGTAGTAAAAGGAGTTTGAAGTATTGTAATGGTACCACATCGTTCGTGACCTGAAATCCCCATAGGATTTCTGAGTTCTCGTAAAACAGCCGAGTGGGCACTTTGGCCCGGTCACTGTCGCTCCCAGGCCATTTGGTGATGACATTGATACTCGCGTGCTGGAAGTCGGCCAGTGTCGCCCATGAAACACCTGAATATCTATCTCCGTCACCGGCTGTAAGTATTGGAACGTATGAGTGAGTTACACAGGTCACTCACGTCGTTCCAAAATCGATACCAATAATCAAGCCCTCATGCAAGCCCTTGATACGAGTTCTGTCATGGTTAGTCGTCGCATCGAGATTTGAGATCTTTGGTAACGGTTCTCGGTGTTCAATACGCCGTGAGGCACCTATTGTCTCTGGTGTAAGTTCTGGTCCCCAAAGCAGGGAAGTCAAGTCTTCCTTGCCTTTTAAGCTAGCAGTGTCAATCTTTGTGTTTGTGACATGATTCGGTACTTTTAAAAAGGAACCCAAGTTAGCACAAGAACACAGAACATCCCCTCTCCACCAAAACCATCACGGTATATCTCTGGTCAGTTGAAGTGTCCATCTGGTACTCGGTGAATGGGCTCTTGGTTTGTGACCTTGCTAGCTATCCACATCTGACTCAACGTTCGCTTGCACTTACTTGCCATGGGAGTCATTGTCAATACGTCCCATTTCGGGACCATGAGGAGTATCTCTTTAGCTGTCGCTGCGGCTACTGCAGCAGCATACTCCTGCCAGTGTTTGGGCTTATGTGAATCCGCATAATCACAAATGCCTCGTACCACAACACACCGAAACTCATTCATCAAGCCCGCAGCTTCCATCTCGAAGCACAGCACATTTCCACCAAACCTGGAGTTTATTTCATCACGAAATATTCCGTCTTTGACCACCTGATTGCCAGAGGCGATGAGACCGTAGTGGATTCGCATATCACGATATTTTCGTTGCAGAAGTTTGCTGCGATCACAACCTGCACAGTGGTTCTGACCTTCCCCTATATCTTGGATCGTGACATGCTGGAAATCTGCTGGAAACAGCATATCTTCCAGGTTCTCTCGTCGTGTGTACCTCGGTGCTAACATTGGCCACTTTCTTTCGACCTCTTCAAGGAACTTTGGGACTACCGACCCTTCCATCTCATGCTTCGCTTGAAGAGTGGAGAGCGCAGTCTTAAGAATAGTCGGCGGACTGTTCAGTGATCCTGTCTGTCTGAACCCAGTCCCTTGCTCAGTCTTGCCGAAATCCCACTGTACCACTCCGCCGAACCCGTTGCTAGGTGCGCTCACCACTACATCGCCTAGTCTGACAGAAGGAGGAACACCGCCTCCAATTCCAACCATAATCCCAAATTTAATACTTGGGAACGTAGAATTTAACCGCGTGGCCACAGATGCGGATGAGTTATTCCCCAGCTCTCCAAGCGGTAAACAGGCGATGACGACGTTGTGACTGCCAACACGACCGAGGGTATAATTATTGGAATCATGCGGAGGCTGTGGGAGGGGAGGATGCAATTGATCAAGCATGGCTTTCGCTGCCACGATCTCCTTGGGTAAAGCGCACACCCATCCGACCGTGTAGTTTTCATGGGTGAGCCTTTCATTCTCTTGACCTCTGTCCCCCATGATCCTTTGAGCCTGCCCAGACAGAGTCCGGCCTGGTGGTTGTCGTACACTCAAATTAATTCAGCAGGGCCTTCCGCATAATTCATCTACCCCAACCTGCATCAACAAATCAAATTTGGGATGGCTTACTCCCGACGTGGCTGGATGCGATTGGATATTAAAAGATTTCTTTGCTTTTTAGGGTGAGGCTAATGCTCGTCGCCCGAAAGCTATCTCAAGGCTGAGCCGCCCTGACCTCGGCGGCTGTGACAAGAGAAACAAAATCTCGAAGTGATAAGTGTTATACGCTGAAGACTTTGATTGATAACTTGATACAACAGCCAACGGACGTGTTACTCGAGTTCACCAGATGCCGATGTAGAAAGCACACTGACTCCATCCAAACCGGAATTACAGATAAAACTTCTACAAAGGGAGGGTAAAATAGTAGAAAGATATAGGGGAAAAGAGTGCACTACTGAAGAAGAGTATCTAGAGTAGGAAATACTACTAGGACTACTAGGCTCAGGGCATCTCAACAATCACCCCTCAAATCAATGGACAGACCGAGGTACGAAATATCAGCACCAAATTACTACACGTATGTACGATATGTATAAGTATCACAGTAATAGTTATAAATGTTCCCGTGAAGAACACTGCTATCTGAAGTGAATTTAGCAATTCAAGTTGGCTAAGTGCCTCTGCTCTATATTTCTTGATCGGCGTGTCAGTACCAAAGGTACTTCCTCTGAATCACCAATATTCAAAATGCAAGGGCCGGGTAGACGAACTATACATCTGAAGAAACTTTTTTTTCCTAATTCCTTCTAGAATTTTTTCCTGTCCTTTCTAGTCAATCCTCTTCGATTCACTCGGCAAAGCGTCAAATGCTGCACTATGAACAAAGGGCATAGATCTCGGATAGTGGACTAAATACTCGGGCCGGAGGTTGGAGAGAAGACCTCTTTCTTTACAATACAACACTTTCCCTTTATCGCTGCCTTTTATTCCGAAGCTCATCTATGCCATGCCGCCATTCACACGTAGGATTTGTCCTGAGACCCAGGCACTCGCCGAGGAGCTTAAATATGCCATGGTCTCCGCCATTTCTTGAGGTGTACCCAAGCGTCCATTGGGGATAAGACCCTTGATGGCGTTCGACGCAGGCTCTGAGCTGCCTGGCGTGGACAACTCGGTGTCGGTCGGACCTGGAGCGATTGCGTTGACGGTGATTTCCTTTGGGCCCAGGTCCTTAGTCAGAACGCGAATCATCTGCTCGATAGCACCCTTTGCGGTCAAGTAAAGAAGGTAGGGAGGGCTAACTGTAGAGACGTGGCAGAGGGCGGAGGAAATTAGGATGACTCGGGCTCCCGGGTGGAGGTGAGGGGCCGCTTTCTACATTGACTATTAGCAAGACTTCCTTTATCATCCGAATTCTGCATCTTTGTGACCTACCTGAATCAAAAAGTATGGCCCCTTTACATTTACATCCATACAGTCGTTAAAGTCTTGCTCCGAGGTGCTCACAAGGTCTCGGATGGGTAAGTAACCGGTGTTGGAAATGACAATATCAATTTGACCGAACACCTCCACCGTACGACGGATCAGCTCTTCGCTGTCGGCCACGCTGCTCGCATTGCCCTTGACAGCCAGAGCGTTTAGCTCTCCGATTTCGTCCACCATCTCCTGGGCGCCTTTGTCATTGGAAGGGTGCTGGATAACCACCTTGGCACCATCACGCGCAAGTCGAAGAGCTGTCGCTTTGCCAATACCCTTCGAGCCACCAGTTATTATGGCAACCTTGCCAGCGAGAGCGAGAGTAGCCATAACTTTGCTGTTAACGGAGGTGAATGAACTTAGGTCTCAAGACAGGTGAACAGAAAGTTATTTTGAGTGATAGATTTGCAGGAATTGAGAAGATAATGCTTCCTAGGGTTCCTCGATCAGGATGAGAGTCTTGATATACCCCCTCCGCATTATTCCACCGCAACTTTAAACGAAGAACATGTTACCCTACTCTGTGTAATAGCGAAGGTGTATAGCGGTGTATAAGAGCGTAAGGCAAGGCGGCTATACATATTTGTAGGCAACTAATGACACGATGAATATATCCCCCCTTGCTGATATTACGTACGCACAGGGGTACAACGATGTACTGTAGTGTCCCCTGCCATACTCAGTTGGTAAACTTGCAGAAGTTACAGTGAATTTATAAATTTCTCCCCTCGTCGCTAAAATATTTATGACACATTCTCCAGCGTTCCCGACCAGACACATCTACAAGTTTTGAACACTCAAAATATATATCTAGCTATTATAATAGGTACCCCGAGGTACGCTACTATTATACGTATAAAGCGAATACGTCCTTAGGCACCGCAACAATTTGTCGCAAAGTCTCTAATTGTTCTCTAGCTTCATTGGTCGTTATAATAACCGGACCGCAGGCAATACACCTCACGTCCTGTCCGAAGGACTCATTTATAGATATATTTATCTATATATAAGACTAGTCGGCCACGTATGTGGCCTGTCCTTAATTACATGCGACTTGAAAATAATTTAATTTATTGTGCCTAAGGTGATATAAAGAAGAGCGGCATGTATCTTTTAAGAGTCGGGGTAAATTACAGTGATCTCATCTCTCAATCACTGTTCTCTCGTTGGGTGCTATTTTACAGAAGCTAAACCTGCACTAGATATTATCTGTTTATCAGAGGGGGGATGGTATATATAAAACTCCAGATCGACTGCCACATCTTTCGCGATGGGGGCTACCGCAGTAGAATGCATTGAACTGCATTCGCAAACAACGCCTTCGCATAGCCATAATGAAACCACGCAATATGTTCCGCCACAAATAATGGTTGGTTTTCTTGAGGATTACAACGGAAATGCTGTAGCTCGAACTGCACCAGGGGCTCAGCGTTTATACGCGGCGATCGAGTGATTTGGAAACGGTGGCAGCCTGCAAACCTGAACTCGTCCGAGCCAAACCCATAATCCACGTAACTGGCCCGCTGGTCCGATGATTCCGATACTATTTGCTTGTCCATCACTTTGAATGACCCGAAAAGGGAGCTGCCGACAGGGAGAAGGTGACGGCTCGGAAGTTCGGAAAGATTCCAGATCTGGGATGCATGTGGATCTCCTTGGAAACCTATATTGACGATTTCAGCAGATGAAACCTCTGAGTACAATGTCCCACAACACCTTTGTCCACAGATCTATGAAGGTTCTTCAAGATGCACGTAGGGATTGTCTCCTAGAAAGTTGCTCACCCGTATACCGCGCTGGAAACAAATTCCAGCCCCCCATTCGTAGGATAGACCTCTCGAACCCAAAGACGAAGCCACCGAAGAACCCATAAGTGAATAACGCCAATGCTTCCTCGTCGCTTAGCCCGGCAATCGCAGACTCTGGAAATACCTGAGTGATATTATCCGTGGCCGTTACATGATGGCGAGGATTAACAAAGTGGAAGGCAGATGAAACCAGAAACTCCGGGCGCACAGGCAAAGTAAATTGAGACTGGCGGAGTGATTGGAAGAAGGAAAGACGCGGAAGCCGCCATTGGGAGGACATGGTCAGAGCTAAAAATGAGTTGTAAAAACAATTTGGGCTTTCCTTTTATCTGGGACAAGATGATTTATCATGGATTGCCCCCATCTATCATGACTCACCGACAGTACGAGCCGTGGAGCCCTGGAGGTCCCGAGGTCAGTGTAAATAGGCGAAAAGACGAAAGGAATGCCAGATTTAGTGTAGTTAACTTTCGGTGGGCTCCTACAGTACATACTAGTGGTTCGATCCGCACGCTAGACATGAACGACCTTGGAAGAAGCCGAAGCGGCCCGGCAACTGCGCGGGAAATATCGGCTCGCATATTATTTTCATTAGTCATCCTCACACCCCTCCAGGGCATCAGCTCTACATTACCTCCATCTGTAGTTATTGTGAGCTGTTTCCGGTCATATACAGGGATTGTATAAGTTATGCCTCAGCATGCGGGGAAGACTCTTTGCTGAGTCGATGGAATCAAATTGGCATTTGACCCCACAGACATAATTTAGTGAATATATGTGCATTATAGTTACGAAATGAGGGTTGGAAAAAGAATTGTAAAAGGCCATAAATATCGAAAGTGAACTCGCAATATTGCTTATAGTTTAGGATCTCTTCCCACCCGGAGTGGCTTTGCACCAACATATGTCCATGGGAGTTCCGTGGTTGCTGCACCTTTGCCACTTAAAGTAATTATTTTCTTCTCCCCAGGTATAAGATCAAATCCATTGTCGCTCAGCTTTAAGCCTTCCCTCTCCTCAAACACGAACCCTTTGACTGGAAGGTCCGCCGAGATAGTGATCTCTTCTTGGGATGGAGAGCCTTCAACCCTGACATTCCGGTTCGAAAAGTCCAGATACTTCAAAGGCTGCGGCCAGGCAGTATCAGCTGCCTCAACCAGACCCTCAATATATAACTCTGCATGAATAATGAATGGATCCAGGTTATTGTAGTCCGCACTCCCACAAGTCATGGAAACATTCACGCGTTGCTTTTCAAGGACCTCTGTTGTGGAATTTGGGGTTGCTAGTGCTGTGATATTGATAGTGTCACTGACCAGCTTACCCGACCTGATGGAGATAAATCTGACTTTGACCTCAACTTCAACTGCCTCTTGACGACTACTCGCAATCCACAGGTCGAACTCACATGAGTTGGTAGACATTGGATCGGCATGACCTGAAGTCCACACCGGGCAGCTACGAGATACACCCACATCAAGTGGCCTCAAAGCTCGACATATGGCGTAGAACGCAGGCTTCTTAACCAAGTAGTAATCGACAATTGCCCAAGAAACAGTTGGCCAACAATCGTTCAGCTGCCACACGAGTACACCGCCACATCTTCGAGCTCCCGGTTGTCCCCAACTCCGTCTCCAGGCCTTGTATGCATAGCGCATCGTTTCAGCTTGGAGGATCTGAGTGATGTGGGTGAAGGATGGGAGATCAGATGGCACAATGAAGTTCTCTGAAACATAGGTCATCAAGCGGCGCTCATGATCACCAGCTTTATTTCTGAAGTCCATCATCATTGAGCCAGGGTGCTGTTGCTGTGGGTCGGTGATGACTCGGCGAAGGGACTCGAGGTGAGGGTAGGCTTCCATTCCGAACTCGCTCACGAAACGCCCGCCAAGCTCCGCACAGTCTTGATATCTGCTCATCTGGCCATGCCAGACTATGTTTTGTTAGAATGTTACCGTGAAATCGAATGGTGTGAGAGAACTCACTATTCCATTGATGAATATCGCCCACAGTTGGGTCAGTTGTGTGTTTGCCATCGCCCCAAGGGCTTCCAGGGTGATAGATGCTAGACGGGTCCTCTTCTTGCATCCATTTTGGCAGCAAATGCTCATATATATACCTTGCCGGAAAGGTCGACTGTCGCCACGACTCCGGGTCGGTGTCGTCCTGATTATACTCAAGCTTATACCTCTCCTGGACCTGATAGTCCTCGTTGTTTCCGGCCCAGATTACCACGCATGGGTGGGATCTCAGCCGCCTAATATTTTGTCGTACTTCTTCCTCAATGGATTTAAGGAAGGACGGGTAGACCGGGTAACTGGCGCAGACGAAGGCAAAGTCATGCCAGACCAGAATTCCCAACGTATCGCATGCTTCCATGAAGGCATCATCCTCATAGATTCCACCACCCCACACGCGAATCATTATTTGATTGGACTCTACCATGAGTTTCATCCAGTCGAGATAACGATCTTTGGATACTTGGGCAAGATAACTGTCGGGAGGGATCCAGCAGGACCCGCCAGCAAATATATCGACACCATTGATGCGGAAGTAGAAAGACTTCCCGAACTCGTCTTTTTCCTGCACTAGTTGACACCGCCGGAACCCAACAAGTTTGGTCTGCTCGTCTAGTCTGGTATCCCCTCGGATGAGCCAAGCTGACAGTCGGTAGCGGAACTGCGATCCGTAACCGTGGGGGTACCACAGAGAGGGAGAAACAAGCTTCACAGCGGCCTTTACCAACCCATCAGCTCCAATGCCGCATTTCTGCTCGAAAACTGCCTCGTCTGCGTTAAATAGCGACAAAAGGACAGTATCGCCCTCCTTTGCACCCGCCCCCACTCGCGCGTATAGGGTTCCAGAGCAAGATTTGTTGTCTGCAGATATTTCGTATTGTATCCATACATCGTCGATCCTGGCAGTGTACTGCTCAAGTACAACCGGGCGCCAAGGTCCCGCAGTCATCAAGATAGGACCCCAGTCCCAGCCCCAGTTATACTGCGCTTTACGTACAGGGATGCGGCTTGCTTCTGTCTGGCGGACATGAAAGACGTGCTCTGGATGCTGATCGGCCAGCTCTCGCCCACGGAGTAGCGCGGATTGAAACACAACCTGGAGTTCATTCTCTTGGCTCGACCGAAGAAGCTTGGAGATATTCACCCTATGTGAAGTATGCATGTTCTCCGACTCTAAAATTATGGTTCCATTTAGAGTCACGGTAGCAAAGGTATCTAGCCCGAGGAATACCAAGTCCGTTTTAATATCTTCGTAAGACGGTACAGTGAACTCGGTGCGGTAAACCCAGTCCTTCTCTGCGATCCATTGTACCGCAAGTTCATTAGCATCCATGAATGGATCGGGAATCCTAAATATCCATTAGCATTAGAAGACATTGACATATTGCCCAGTGGGCAGTGCTTACTTTTTGTTTGCAATGAGATCAATGTGGACTTGGCTAGGAACGTTTTCCACGGGAATCCAACACTCATCAGAAATGTCATCCGCCTGCTTCATAGACCAACCGGTCTTCAACTCTCGCGTGGACTTTTGCATGATGTCAATAAATGTGAGCTTTGCACAATGAGGTCTGAATTCACGTTAGAAGGTCAGCCGTTTTATCCCTGATGTCGGGATCAACTGAGAAAGGTACGGTATTTTGAACCCTCGGTCACTTTCAAGGTGCGGACCCCTTTGGAAAATGGACGTTCGACTAGGTGTTTCAGCGCTCTCTGGTGTAAACCAATGTGAATGTCTTTATTCCCGCAGTCCAGAAATGGCACGGGAATTTCAAACCCCGTACAGCACGGAGAGCACGGAATGTGGGGAAGAGCGGACGGATCTTCACGAATCTTCCCCAATGTCACGAAAGAGTGAGAAAAAGACATAGAAAGGAGTGTCTCCCCCAATTGCAATAGAGAATAACAGAACCATTATGTCTGGAATTACGTTATCATTGTCGGATAGTAAGTCTCGCGGAAATACATTTGGGCAGGTTGCTAACCACATCAGTACAAACCCATCGAGCTGAAGGCGATTGCTGGATCGCGATCCACGGCAATGTCTACGATGTAGGCTCTCAGTTCCCCCTACAAATAAAAATTCCGCTCACAGCTCCAGGTTAGCAGGTTCTTGAACAGCCATCCCGGGGGAAAGGCAATCCTTCTCCAACATGCTGGCACCGATGCGACCCGTGCTTTTCAAGATGTCCATCCAGCTGAGATACTTGATGAGTATTTGGCTTCGGATCAATTATTGGGTCGGTTGGAGCCGGCATCCCAAAATCTCAGGGACGACGGACAGCCCGAGCATATTCCCTCTCTTCCAATGGGTACGATCTTGAGCATCGCAGAGATGGAAAGTCTAGCTTTAAAGCGTCTCAGCCCCAAAGCACTTGCATACTACGCGTCCGGTACAGATGACGAGATCACAAAACTCGCAAATGGAGCCATTTTCAAATCTGTTCTCCTTCGACCGAGGGTTTTCGTTGATTGCACGGACTGCTCGCTGTCTACCACTATCCTAGGAAACAAGGTCGGGCTGCCAATATTCATTTCACCAGCAGCCATGGCAAAGTTGGCAAACCCATCAGGCGAAATGGGGATAGCTGCTGCTTGTTCCAAATTCAACGCTCTCCAGATCATAAGCAAGAATGCATCTGTATCTGTGGCTGATATCGTGCAAGCAGGTCCTAATGCGGTTTTTGCCTGGCAGCTTTATGTTCTCAAAGATATCAAGGCCACAGAACGGACTTTGGCTCAGATAAAGGCCATCCCACAAATTAAATTCATTGTCTTGACACTTGATGCTCCATTTCCAGGAAAGCGCGAGGCCGATGAGCGTTACAAGGCGGAGGAGGTTGCCGGAGGAGGGGTTTCGCAAGTCTGGGGGACGGAGTCGGCTCTCACCTGGCGCAAAACTTTGACATGGCTCTCCGCTCATACCGACCTTCCGATTGTCCTTAAGGGTATCCAGACGCATGAGGATGCGTACGCGGCAACCATGTTCCAGGCTGTTAAGGGCATCGTTATCTCCAACCACGGTGGAAGGGCATTGGACACAGCCAATACGCCCATGCAAGTTCTGTTGGAAATCAGGAAATTTTGCCCGCAAGTCTTTGATCGGGTAGAAGTCCTTATTGATGGCGGCATCAAGAGGGGAACCGATGTCGTCAAGGCGCTGGCTTTGGGTGCAAAGGGCGTTGGGCTTGGCCGAGCTGCACTCTATGGTCTAGCCGTGGGTGGAGAGGAAGGTGTTCACAGATCGCTACAGAGTTCGTGTTCTTCTATCTATCGAGTATCATATTCATTGTACTAATATGTCAATCATAGTTCTCGCAGACGAGGCCGCGACAGCTATGAGACTCGTCGGTGTCAGCGGTGTGAGTGATCTTCGGCCACAACATGTAAGTTCCATCGTCCGCATTGAAAAGGGCCAACAACTGATTGGAAAATTGATAGGTAAACACTTCTATCTTAAATGCTCAGCTTTATGACGGGCCCTCCGGCTTAGACGCGGTGGAAAATAAGTTAATGGCCAAATTATAGACTGAATCATAACTATTGCTTCCTATAAAACTTCGTTTTATGAACCATATCCTAGAATTAATGAGTACTATATCCTCATCATGAGATTCGATAGTATAGCGAGTGAAGAAAGTTTGCTTAAGACCGAAACGCATTCACCTCCCAATGTTTTGTCCAGATCAGGATCTCAACCCACGATCAATGTTACCCCCACTCCAACCGCACAAATTGTCTAACCCCAGACACTTTCTATCTCGTTTTTGTCATTCGGGTCTGGGCTTAGTCTTGTGGGGGCGATATTTCCGGGGCAATAACGAAGATTTGAATATCCGTGCGACGAATTCGGCCTAGTCTTTGAGGAAAAACTGGGGCCCCATGACTCCCCGTGGGGATTGCATGAAGTCTAATAGACATGCATCTTCCAGGCATGGGTCTTTTTATAAAAGCCCTTTGACAGCCTGCATTGTCGCAAAAAGCATCTCGAGCATTGTCATCGCGGTTTCTTTGGAGCTCCGTGTCAACTAGAGATCTATTCTTAATTCTTTTGAAACCTTTTCATATTTTTGGGATAATCCAGGGCGAGGTCTCTTATCGCCATTATGAACAAAACAATGGAAGACCCTACCCTGAAGGAGGTAGAAAATATGGAGGAGGTCATTGAAACGTATGCGACCATCATGGCGACGCACAAACCGAATCCCCGAGGTCCAGGCTACATCAAATTGTATATCCTATCGGCGGTTGTGTTCTTATGTTCAACTATGAACGGTGAGCTCCCTAAGCCTGATGGCTATATTGAGTTTTGGCTTCCTAACACCATATAGGATTTGACAGTTCATTGATGGGATCTATCAACGCGCTTCCGAACTACATCAGTTACTTTGGCTTGCCAGAGAATGGCAATGCCAGTACTGGCATTGTCTTTGCTATCTTCCAGGTAAAATAGATACTGGCTCTGTGATTCCGCGCTATACTAATTTCTTTTATCAGGTCGGTCAAATGTGCGGTGCACTATTCATCTGGATGGCCGACTGGTATGGACGAACATGGCACATCTTCTTCGGCTGCTTGGGTGTCTGCGTCGGCACCATTGTAACAGCTTTTGCATCAAATCTCCCAACTTTCATTGCAGGAAGATTTATTCTGTCCTTCTTCGCAACATGCGCACATACTGCTGCTCCCCTTTATCTAGTCGAACTTGCTCCACCAGCGTATCGGGGAACCATTGCAGGGATGTATAACACATTTTATAATGTGGGCTCTGTGTTTTCAACATCAGCTGTGTATGCATGCCACAAATACCTTGCCGACCAGGGTAACTTGGATTGGCGGATTCCCCTTTGGCTTCAGATAGTGTGTCCAGGGCTTGTGTGTCTTGTTATCAAATTCTACCCCGAGTCCCCGCGATGGTAAGTCAATATTTCACTGTTCGCTCGTTGGTTTATCTCATTTGCTGAAACGGTGTGCCAATGCTAACCTCACCCTTGCTCAAGGCTTATGTCCAAGGATCGGCACGACGAGGCGAAGGCTATCATCGCTACCTATCACACAAATGGTGATGCTGACCACCCACTCGTGGCACTCCAGATGGGAGAAATTCTCGCAACTGTCGATGTCGACCATCAAGCTACCTGGAAAGACCTGTTCGATCTCCGGGTGCTTGTTGAGTCTCGTTCGAGTCGGTATAGGCTCATGCTTAACATTGCTTTCTCTTGGTTTGGCCAATTCAGCGGAAACAAGTATGTTAAATGTGCTGGGTACTGGCGATTTGGGTAACTGACGATATCTCTAGCATCGTATCCTATTACCTGCCTATCATGCTCAGTGGCATTGGCATCACAGACACTAACATGAAATTGATTCTCAATATCGTGTATGCGGTCGTTGGTTGGGTGTCTTCCATCTGCGGTTCCCGTCTACATGATGTTGTAGGACGTCGCAAGATGCTCATTACCAGCACAGCTGGTATGGCAATTTGTTTGTCCATCGTGGCAGCCTGTTCCGCCGGCTACACTAAGTATGGTAACACAACCGCATCGACCGTTAGTATTGTCTTCATCTTCCTTTTTGGTGCAACATTTGCTTGCGGTTATACCCCAATGCAACCTATCTATCCTGCTGAAGTCGTGAGTAACAAAATGCGAGCCAAGGGCATGGGTACCTTCAAGTTGACAGCCGGGGCCGCCGGGTTTCTCAATACCTTCGTTGGACCCATTGCGCTATCAAATGTAAGAAAAATCTTCGGACTCTTATGTCTTTTACACTGCTAATCTATTCTCTAGATTGGGTACTGGTTCTACGTGTTCTTTGTATTTTGGGATACTTTTGAGATGACCTTTATGTACTTCTTTTTTGTCGAGACCAAGGGATTCACGCTCGAGGAGCTGGACGCCATATTTGAGGCAAAGAACCCACGAAAGGCCAGTGTTAAGGCTGCGAAGGCCAGAAAGCGAATTATTGTGGCTGGAAGTAGTGAAGTATGACTGCGGGCGTGCTGTATATATATATCTTAAGCGAGGTTTTTCTTTCAAAATGTATTGTGCCTAAATTTAGGTGAGCGTGGGTACGATTTTAAAGGAGACTTCCTTATGATTTAAAAGTATATGAGTTATTGAATTGACCAAAATTTATCGGAAGTGGTAACTAGGTTGTTTGAAGCTGCAGGGGCACAATTTTAGATCAACCCCGCCCCCGGAAAAACCACTGCCCCCAATTACGCTCTTCAAAACTCGGCGTCTTCTCCGCATCGCCCTAATGCTCGTCTCTTATGAGCGAATATCATGACAACTCTAACAGAATGGGATCACTTGTTCCATCATGTTCCACACGTTTGAAATCCGAGACCCCGGTGAACCTGCGACACCAAGACTCCAACCAGCACGCAAAGTGAACAAGTCATGTTCAGAATGCACGCGCCGAAAAGTGAAATGCGACGGGGGAAATCCTTGTACGAGTTGCCAGTACTATCAGATTTCCGAAGCCTGCGCCTATAGACAACGAACTAGACGTCAGGCAGCGAGCAGGAGGTGAGTGAATTCAATCCCTGTAAAGGGCCTGGATTCCATAAATCATGTCGCTAATATATGCACTTCGCTTTGTATAGCACCCTTGAGAAAACCACAGCAACCCTGCGTCGTCAGGCTGGAGTTCTCCGACTACTCTTTCCTAATTGCTCTCTAGACGAATTGGTTGAAAAGGACCGATCGGAGCTCATCCTTCTCCTGTCGCACGAATCAACAGAAAACGGACCCTCAGAGGTCTATAGCGAAGCGCCCCCGGTCGCCATATCACCCATTATTTCCAGCCACATTGAAGATTCTCACGACTCGCCAGAGGAGTCCGATAGGGGGGAATCGGGAGAGGAAAGGTGCTGGGACGAGTCGGCGCAAAACCCCGCCACGATGGGAGCCAGCGATGATATAAATGCAATCAGTTTGGCGAGCGACCGGCATCGCCGCTCGTATCTGGGCATATGCTCTGTAAGTGCTGTTCTCCGGGCATTGTTTCGGCTTTGCCCTGCCGCGAAAAACCGGATTGTGGAACAGTCCAAGACTTGGCCCGAAGTCCAACAAGAAGTCAATCGGCCGTCTGCTTTGAATTCGCATCTCGGTCTTCCAGTGCCATCTGATTCCCTGCGAGAACAACGCTATATCGGATTTTACTTCGAAAATGTTCATGCCATCACACCTTTCTTGCATGAGGAATCTTTCAGGGCGACCTTCGCTGCTGGCAATCGACAAACCCCCGCGTGGTTGGGTCTCTACAACATGGTGCTCACAGTAGGGTCTATTGCCTCTGGGAGTGACACTGCTCACATATACTATTATAATCGGGCTCGGTCCTACCTTGACCTGGACTCACTTGGATCTGGTAACTTGGAGACTTTGCAGGCCCTGTGTCTGCTGGGCGGGTACTATCTCCATTATCGAAATTCTCCTAATATGGCATATGCGATCCTCGGTGCCGCCCAACGCTTAGCCATAGCATTGGGGTTACACCGAGAGTCCCCAACTCGTGTCGATCATCAAGATCCGGATATTGGCCAACGCCACGCCGTCCGGCTCGAAAATAGACGGCGTACTTGGTGGAGTCTGTACTGCCTTGACACTTGGGCCAGTATGACCCTGGGTCGCCCGACGTGTGGACGCTGGGATAGTAGCACCATGAATACATTATTGCCCACTGCTCTTTATCCCGACGACCATTTTGCAGCCTCCTTGAGAGCTAGTACCCAGTTCTGTCACATCAGCAACCGTCTCCAGCATCGTTTCGCACAATCAACCAGGATCAACATATCCGAAGCCCAAAGCCTTGATCACGAACTTCAGGAGTGGTACAGGACACTGTCTCCTATCCTTAAAGAGACCATGAATTCCCCGCCTCGTATCACCGTAGCGCGCGAGTTTATACGAAACAGGTACCACAACGTACGCCTAATGCTATCTCGGTGCTTCCTTTTATACAAAGCGTATGGAGACTCCGAAAAGCACAGCATCGGGCAAGCAGAAGAGCAGATGGCTGACCTCTGCCGCGCTATCGCCGCGGAGGCTATCGACGCGATTGCGCTACACTGGGTTCCTAATCGAACGCAAGTCTGGAATTCTGCTTGGTATCTGTTCCAAGCTTGCATGGTTCCGCTCCTCTCCATCGCCATGGCTGCATCCTTCAACCTTGGAGCAGTTGGTTCTGACAACGTCATATCTTGGCACTCGAGCTTAAACAAAGCGCTTGAGATCTTTGCGGAGATGAAACCATGGATGCGGGCTTCTGACCGCGCCCCAGATATTGTGACTGCCTTATTCCAAGCCATTTCTCAAGGTGCTGAGGGTACTGAACGTACGCCATCGGTGATTGACGGAGGGTCTCATCTGTTCGGTTGGGCAGATGAACTTTTGACGGATATGGACTGGAGCATGCTTTTCAATGATGAGAACGTATCGCCAGGTTTATTTTCATTAACCTAATCTCCGTCTAAACCAAATCGTTTCAAAATCACATTATCGCCATGCTCCTAAAAGGTAACCATCGAAGACTACCCCCCTTTTTAACACTAGTTGATAACATAATGAAGCGACTCTTTCCGGCGGGCATCTTGTCCCCGCCCTACTGCAATAGTAGGAGACATATATAATTCAAGATAACTATATTTTAGACTCGTGCGTTGAGTCCATACAGAATATGCCAAATCATATATTCACCTAATCATTACCAGTTGCATAGCTTAATCCCTATGCCCTGCTTAGTATATTAGAATTGGGAATTGTGTCGTACACTGGAGCTTTCTGGGCTATATTGGAAACTGGAAGAACCGCGCAATACTTTTGTTTCCGTGATCCAAATTCGAAAAGTCGCGTTGGACTTCGCGATTATCTAAATGCCGATGCCGACCTTCACAATGACTTCGGAAGCCGATCAACATAACTACGTAAGGCTAACTAACGGCCTTGGAATATACATGAAAACCAAGGAGCTTTGCATTGAGCAATTCCACCACAGTCAGTTATCAGCCAAGAGGGTATCGCAACAGATATTTTGCTCAAGAATAGAAACCCTTGATAATTTTAGGTACTAGCTGAGGCTTGACCGTGGGTTTAGCCATAACTTTTGGCCATATAATAATAGATTCATACATTTATTTGGCCAGGCCGTGTACTTCAAACCCTTTACTCTACTACATCACACATATAGCGCAAACTCCAACATTTCACCCCGGTGGCTAGTCACTTGATCCCGTTCTATTACGTTAGTATATCTAGCAGTCGGCCAAGGACAAGTACTTACCCAAAGTCCATAACTGTCGTCGAGCCTGATGAGTTTAGAATATCTCCCACGTAATTATCTGGTTTGATGCCGTGTTTGTAGTCCGTCCAATTTCCCTTCATATCATTTATGATCTGTACACCAGCAAGATAAAGATTTTTGAGCGCTGGCGTGGTGCCACTCTGACTGGCTTCCAGCAGGTGATAGGCTGCAGTCTCGCTTGGAGGTGGCCTATCAAAGTCCGAACCAGCACGCATGATGATGATCCTTGAAAAGTCTACCAAACCGGCAGAGTCGGCCCGCAGCAATGACTCGAGGGTTGCATTGTCTTCTTGTTGACTGCTGCAATACACGCCTGTCCCATTGGTGAGGACGGCTGTGTAGTTGCCAAAGCTCTCGGAAAGCAAGTTGCCTGAAAAGTAAACATCCGATGTGGCAGTGTCGCAGGCCACAACTGTGGGTGGTTGATTTGCTGGACTGTAATCGTACTTTGCGCGGTAGGCTGCGGCTTTGGCCGTGTCATTTAGGGTTGCTTTCTTTGCCTGAGCAATAGCCCGGTCTCGAAGTGCAGCGTTGAGTTCGAAAACCTCTGTGCCATATACTGTCCCAGGATAGGTTTCTGGCACCATTGAATGCTGTGGAATGTATCCCGTGGAATAGTTTGAAGGCAGCTCTCTGATATCAATCTCGTACTGAAGGGCTACTTGAACGGCATAACGAGCAAAGGTGACAGAGCCGGTCGTAGCATAGAACGGATTTACCCCAGCAATACCAGCGATCAGGAAATAGGTGTATGAGAGGTCAAAATGTCTCGATAGAGCAAATGCCATGATAGTTGAGGCAGCGTTGATTTCTGAAAGGTTATTAGCCAGGCAACAAAATATTCTTAGTATTTGTAAAGAACGAACCGCCTTCCCCGGTCGTCAATTGACAAACCTCTCCTTTAACATCACAGTGTACAACGGGATATTCAGGTGAAAGGCCTGGAGTGGTGATATTCCGTGCATACAAGCCCAATTGCTCAGGCCAAATAGCCGCCTCTAATGAAAACTGTAATTGTTAGCGAAATCAATATGCGGCCTCCCCCCTCCTTCTCAAGTACTCATACCATGCTGATGATCACCACCTTTGGAGCAATAACCCCATGTCGAGCATCTTTCTGCAGACTCAGAGATGGGGTTGCTGCGACCGACCGTAGGATGCAGGCAGCGAATGCCAAGATGGCAAGGTACTTAGTACCCATGATCGTGGATTAACGGTCGGGAATAAGTGTCCGCCGTTAGGTAGTATGTATAGGATTCTGCGTGAGGCCCTATGTAGATCGTTGTTCTTATACACCACGCTCTAGATACGGATAGTAGCGGACGGAGCCGGCCTAATACTAGGACTTATCTCTATTCATTACCGTATATCCACAGTACCTTACGAGCTAAGTCACCGATAAGTGATTGTTGACATTTGGATGCAGGAACGGCGCTAGTTGAAATATCGTGATAACGCCTAATTTACCCACTTTCTCTCCACTTTCTACCAGTTAGCAAAGCTTATGCGCTTGAAGAAGGATTCAAGCTAATCTCAAAGGCTTTGCAGGTGACAGACCAGAATGTCCTCCTGAGAACCACTCTGGTTTCCAACCAAAGAGCAATATCTTCACTCTACTCACAGTTATATATCGTCGATCATAACACGAAAAGTCACTTATCCAGTAGTGTTTATCGGAGCTTATATTATTCAGAGAAGCGTTGGGGTCCACGCGTCACTTATCTCATGGCGTTAATAGGCACCCACCGTGCATGGCAATTAATCTATTATTTTAGGGTTGCTATGCCAATTCCACCGGAAGTCAGACAAATCAACAAAAGATAAGTTGGGGTTTATTTACACCAATTATCTCCGTCCATATCTCCGTGCCGACAGATATTTCACCGAAATTTTGTTATTCCAATCCAACCTCTTAAATATGATGAGCATTGATGTGTTACGACTACAATTCTTAAGAGCGTAGGTTTATATGGCTAGTCTAGGATAAAAGACTAATCGGTAGTGCCTAAATGATTGTGAAATCGGTAAGTCTGTCTATCGATGGCTCCCTAATAATACTAGGTCTAGTTTAGCTGACCAAGTACATGGTAGTAATGAGTTATCGCCATTGGTAAGAAGCGATGAAGGCACCCAAGCCCAGGGGGAGATGTGGAAGGAGTTGCCACAAAAGCTCGGTCGCATTCACCCGGGGATTTCCCAAGCACTAGCGAGTTTATATAATATATACTGTCTCTCCATATCATCCAGGCGAAATTCATCTGCGTATGAAATTTAGTTATATGAAATTATCCCGTTCGGGCATCTGAGTAATTACGATATATATTTATAATCTCCTCATACTCGTATCAATTGGGCGCGTAACTCAGTTGGTAGAGTGTTCGCTTTGCATGCGAAAAGTCCAGCGTTCGAATCGCTGCCCGTCCATTTCTTTTTTATTTTGCTCCACATACCCACCCCCTGAGAGGTTACAGTCGCCAGTACGGAGTAGTCTGTACCACAGCGGGGAACAATGGACTTTTAGGTGTAGATTCTAGCCAATTTTTAGGGCAATGGTGAGGGGAAGGAAGCAAAACCAACCAAAACAGTAATTTTCCTATAATCAATCTGTGAATCATATGGCGAATCATATACGCTTGTGTGATCATTAGAACTTCAATGTGAGAAGGAATGTAACCAAGCGCGACGAGTAGACAGGACAGGTTTCCAACCGATCACGGTGCCATGACGAGAAACGGGGAACCGAGAAATGATGCAAGGCGACCCCGTCCACGGTCGCGGGGCCACCCTGGGAGATCCAATTGTCGAATTCAAGCGTGCCTACCAGATTCGACTGACTTAGCTCGATTGCATCAGCCGGCGCTGGCATAACACTGTCGCCCCCAGGCGTGTGAACCCCAGACGCCTTGGCACTGTAGGTACATAGGACAATAGCACTGTTCAACAGGCCGGCAGGGCCGAGGACATTGCACAGGCGTTGATCGTTCAGTCTGTAAATATTACTCTCGCGCTCGTATACACGCTTCAATTGAGCAGCGTGGTAGACCGCCTGACGACCGTCTGGGGACCGGGCCCAAACACTGATGACATTTTCGATGTTGGCTTCTTGGCAACCCGAACAGCATTTGCTATGCTCGAGCAGCCGCATATTGGCATACAGCTTGAGAGAAAGAAGGTGGTACAGGGTAAGATCGAGACCGAGAAAATGGTTGTAATCGCTTATGCATCCACCGAAGAATGTGTCTTCCAGCTTGTTAGTATTCTCAATGTGGACTCGCCAGTCCTGGAGATAGCCTTTCCAAAGCTTGGCTCGGTCTGCTGTGCGGTTCAATTCAGGTGAGCGATAGTTTCGATGATGTTCCTCGTGGGCCTCTTTCGAAACACACCATATCTCAGACAAGAATGCACAGAGACTGAAGTGATTATCCTCAAGGGTCAGGTGAGGCATTCGGAGATACCCAGTCATGAACCCCCGTGACTCTAGTCCGTCACGGACCAGTGTAGAAAATGTACTTTTGGTTCGGCCTGCCGGTTCATACCAATGGAGGCTCGTCCTGTCTGCTCTGGTCTCTGCTCGCCATAGATTATCTGACACAGGCAGTGGTGGTCCGATCTCTTGGTACCGCATGGTAGGGGGCCGGTCAAGGATAATGCACAAATAGGTATCGATGCGTAGAACCGCGTATACTAGCCTGATAAGGTGTTAGAAAATGGGCGGTTATAGATGGAATGGGGAAAGTATACCTTTTCATCTCCTCAGTCTGGACCCATCGCTCATCGGCGGATTGTAGGTGTTCTTCTGGATGCCACCGATCATCCAAGACACCGAGTCGTCGAAAAGTGAAGATGGCAATATCGGTCCACTGTGCTGCCCAATTCAAAGTACATGCAGGTGCCTGTGCCTATTAGTTAACTTGTTCCTTTTTTTTGGCTATCGAGGAACAAATCTTACATCTCCCAGAATCGCATAGGTCAAGGTGACGACCAATGCTTGTAGGGTTGGTAAGGTTATATCGGCCGATTGCTTTTCTGTCAAGGTTTCTATCGTCTATGCCAACTTTAACATTTTCGCACTGTAAAGGTTCCACCATATAGGCGACACTCACGATTTTAGGCATTAGTGCATTGGTCAGTTCTTGATTGATTCCGTATGGAACCAGATGGTGACGATTGGCGTTTTGCATCCACATCGATAGGTTGACCACCGCACTTGTCAACAGTTTTGTCTGCTTTTCGGGTGCAAAAGTGGGAACGTGTAGAAAGGGCCAGGATTGGTGGAAATTTTCAAAACCAATGGATTTGATCTGTGCAGTGACGAACTGTGCTTGGCTCGTAATGGCCTCATGCAGCTGCAGCGACCCGCTAGATGATGATGCTGGGGTAAATGTCTCATGGCTGGTCATCCCAAGCATTGAAGCATCTGTGTCTGTGAAGTTAGATCAGAGTAGTTCTCAAATGTAGTAGTTTGTAGCTCCCACTCACTTGAAAAACGGCGGCTGGGGGTAAAGGTTGATAGATGGCTCATGTGTATTTCACATGGTTCGTCTATAACGAAGCGATCTCTCGTTTCTGAAGGTTGCCCCACTGGTGCGTCAAATGGGAAATTCATAATGTCAGGCGGCTCGCTGAAGTACAGAGGAGGGGTTCTGTTCGGGGTGGATATGGCTGTGTGGATCCCGGAAATCATGCCCATCAATGGATCGGTTAGTGGCCGTAGAGGATCTTGATCTGGGCCCATATTTCTCAAGGTGGGCCGAGTATTGGAAACATGATTGCTCGCACTTCGGTCCATCGGTGTATTCCAATCCAGTCGCATGGGGGAGGTATCCTCTACACTTGGTATGGTTGGGGTTCCAGTCCCGCCGTAGTCTACTTCCTCTGCAAGTTCGATTGACCTATTTTCCTCCCAAAGGGAACCCTTGTGGGTCGATCGGCTTGCGGGGGTGAAGTTCTGCGTACTAGATGGTTCACGCACGCATGCTTCCCCGCTGTTGACACATATAGAGCAGGGGTAGTTGGAATCACACTTCGTTTTACGCCGGCGACACGTTTGACATGCTAACGGTGTTCTTTTCGCACCGTCTGGAGGTACATTATGCTGGAGCACATGTCGGTTCAAAATATCACTGTTAGATCGATCAGCCGATCGTCATCTACAGCCAAGACGCCAAGTGACCACTGCGGGCGGCTCTTACCTCCTCGCAAAGCTTCGCCCACAGATGAAGCATTTATGGCGGCGCAAATTAGTATGTATGACAAGATGGCGATTAAGATGCTCTTTGCGCAGAAAGGATTTACGGCAGCCGGTATCAGTGCAGACAAAAGGGCCTGACGAGACGGGGGCTCGATGCGAAGGTGAAAATGCCATAGTCTTCTTGGACAAAGGCGAACAAGTCGGTCAAGCCGATCAGGGCGATCATGGGTGGATCAATGATCAAGGAACTTCTCGCGCATGGAGGGAATTGGGGAGGGGAAAGAAAAACCCAGACAGTAATGATCTTAGCACCAGAGTGAGATCCAAAGTCTTAAGAAACGTGAATAGTGATTGTTGGACATCTCTAATCTGGAATACCGAATACAACCCTTAAACACCCGCTTGTTTTATGGCAGAAATAAGCAGGCTTAGAGATGTCAGATCTCACGATCTGTAGACCGATTCTCCTTGGGAATTGGCCCCCAATCCTAGGGGACTTCTACGGAAGGGGGAAAGCCTCGTGCCAAGCATACACAATTGTCCGAGAAGATCTTTCGCCAAGAGCCGCTTGATTCTTAGATCCAACGAGCTCCAAGGCCATGTTGGTAGTGGAGGGAGCTATGTATGAAGGTCAATGTGACCTCGGAGATGCAACCTTTCCTCTCGGTTTCTCTTCTCCTCTTCTTTCCGCTTTCTCAAGATAATTCAAGCTTCGTTTAGTTGTTCGCTTTCTCTCCTCCGGAAGTGGCGCTCTCGAGGTTTCCCTTGATCTGCAACCTCGTGCCGTGGAGATAGCTGTTAGCGCCAGCCTCCTGGACCTTGAGTGCCGTTAATTCGCTGTCAACCCCAAGGGTTCCGATCCTTTCAAGCAATTCCGGCCGATGGCCACTGTGACTCGATCATTTAACTTTGTTTTTAAATTGGCTTTCGGCTCCTTTCGTATCCACCATGACCAATACAGAAGACCATACCTGCACGATAAATAACGCGAGCACTAGTCGCTGACCCTGCATATGGAGTTGTGGCTATGCTGTCTCGACACATGTGCTAGCCCAATGCAACAGCGCCAAATTTCACGGGTTGTTGGATCCGCCTCTCCGAGATATATTACTTGCATAGTGTTATTTCTCACCTGCTGAAGTACACAGGATCGAGATGGAAGTGGAAGGATACCGTGGGAAATAATACAGCCATTTTTGCCTAGACCATAACAAAAGCCAAGGTTCCTGTTTAAGGCCTGGGGGGACCTGGATATCCTAGTCTGACAGATAATTGTGCCAAGCGCCGTACCCTGTAATATAGTGCTGGACGCTTGGCACGATTACCTCAAGAGGAAACAATGCAAACCACGCAAACACAACAAAACAAACAAACAAACGCAAAGGAAGAAAGATCTCTGGCATGTGGCATGTGCAAATGCTAGAGACACGAGACACTACTAGGTAGATCTGTATTTTGCTAAGTGTTTCTTAAGAGGAATCATTCGAAGAGAAATGGCGTGAAAGACGACTAGATATGACGATATAAAAATCCTTGTAGTCACAATTAATTTAATAACCGATTCTTCTGGAATTCTTGGATGGCTGCTAATCTGATAACCTGACAACACCCTATCGATCTCACAAAATGGTCTAGCTGGGTAGCCTGTTGACTATATACGGTACATAGAGCTACACGCCCCGGCCAAGTTTAATCTTTCTTCTAGGCGATCTAGTCTTGAATGCCTCTTCAATCTCCCCAAAGGTCCGACCTTTTGTTTCATGCATGAAGGTGATGCCCACAGCAACGGTAATAACACAGCATCCACCGAACAAAAAGTACGCACCAAAGCTACTCTTCTCAAGGAGGACAGGTGTTGTCAAAGCCACCAAGAAGTTGCACACCCAGTTACTCGAATGAGCCAATGTGGTAGCTGATGCTCGTGTTCGCTGAGGCTGAATCTCGGCGCTGTAGACTTTGACGGAGATACCCCATGTGACAGAGTAAATAGCGGAGAAAATGTAGATGCAGACAATAACAATCCAGCGACCAGCACCGGTCATTTTGTGGACGGCATTTCCGGCATAAAGACCGCCCATCAAAAACATCAAAATTCCCATTACAACGCCGCCATAGATAATGCTGCTTCGGCGGCCCCATTTATCAGCATAGATTAGCCCCGGGATGGTGACGGCGAAAATCACAAGCGCTGAAACACCAGAGGCCAGAAAGCTTGCTTCCGAAGAGGCAAGACCGGCCTTTTGGAATAATTGTGGAGCATACTATGGAGGTCAAGTTAGCCACTGTGAGTTCTACCGAGTTTTAGAAAGGGCTTGAGCATACATAAAGAACGCCATCGATGCCACTCATCTGCTGCATTCCCATCAAAAAGACTGCAAGGATGGTCCGGCCCAACACATCTTTGGAGAAGATAGCAAGAAGCTTATCCATGGTTCCATCTTTGACCGTCTCAGTATCGGAGCCAACTTCCTGTGCCCGCACTTGTAGCACAACCTTCTCCCGCTCTGCGCGGCTGACGCCCAATTTGTCCCACGCCTGGTCGGCCATTTCATACCTACCATGAAGACCTAGCCACTGAGGCGACTCGGGCAAGTAAATAAGTGAAAGTCCACACATGATCATAGAGAAGGCTGCAAGGAGGATAAACGGCATGCGCCATGACAGCGACGAGCGGATACCCGAGGTTCCATAACTGATAAAGTACCCCATGACCAATCCCAGGGTAATAGCCAGTTGAGGACCTGTTGTCAGAGCGCCTCTGGTTCTAGTTGGTGAGATTTCACAAATCAGGACAACAAGATTTCCAAGGAAAAGGCCTTCTCCAAGGCCTTCCACAATGCGACCAACAATGAACATGGGGAGAGCGACGGCCCCTGCTTCTATTGCGGCTCCCACGCCGAAGATGAAAACCCCGATAGAAATCCCCTTCGGGCGACCAAGCCGATCGGCGACATAGCCAGCGAAGAAAGAAGAGAGCGCTGCCGGAATCAAGATACATGAGACTATCAGCCCATGAATCGTGGAGTTTTGACTACCAAATGACTTTTTGAAGTCCTTCATATCGGTCACCGGTCCGATAATACCTGTATCCATCCCGAAAAGGATTCCATTCGTTGAGCAGAGAATGCATGCTAGCATATATTTCGGGGGATTTTTCAACTGCAGGTGAATCAGTCCCATTACTGCGACTTTGTCGGGTTTTGCCGACAGGTCTGAGAAGATAGTTTTCCTGGGCCCGGGTTGTTGAAAGTGTGAAGCAAATACTTATAAAAATCAGAAGAAGAAAAAAACGCTTAGCCCTCTGGAGGGGGGGTAGGGGGGGTTTCCCCAATGCCCAGACCCACGTAGGGCAGCCATTATTTCTATATGGTCCATCATTATGTATCCGGTACATCATAGAATGTACCCTTTTGTGTCCTTATTACATTTGGCTACCATCATTCCTCGCTACTTCTATGCAACATGAGATTTTCTTGTACTTGCAAAAATTAAACTGTACAAACTAAGGGTTACAACATAGACAGAAACTTTCGGAGAAGGGTTCTCCGCCCAGATTGTATTCGAGCCCCCCACGGGCCGAATCGACGTGCGAGAGGAACGAGCGCCGAAGGGTTTTGTGGGTATCTCGGGTTTTCCACCGGGGTTTTCCCCTCGTTTCTGAATTTTATTATGGGGTGCCGGGGTTTTGCCGGTCATTTTTTATGGGTCTTGTGAAATGCAAAATGATCATTGGTTCCTAGACGGGATGATAACATATCCACGTGGCATGGTAAGGATAAAATGCTCTGTAGACATAGAATGCATGTTCTTTTACGCAATTTGGCTCGTTTACTCTATGGCTCACCTTAGTTTTCTTAATGGAAAGTGTATATAGATTTCCAATTCAGATTCTTCATGTTCTTCAGCAGTTTGGCTCTTGTAGGTGGAAGATTAAAAATAGAATCACCACTTTTCCCATGTGAGACCTGTTTGTTCGTTATTTCAAACAGCAACGCCGGCCGCACATCGTTGTTCGCACAGTGGGTTAAATGACAACTCCTTTCCCCCTTTCATACACGGTCAACAATAGGCTTTGTCCTTTGTCCCTGCATGGGCCCTTTGAAAAGAATCGAACAAGTACCGAATCACATAACATAAATACTGCCGATATCCGCTTTTTGAGTGCCAACCAAACAAACATTTGAATTGACTTCTATATCATCCAAATGCTTCAACTGGGGCTTTATCGGATCCTACGGGTTTTCTGGATTACCCTTGACTTTTGGTCCAACACCGATCAATCTTCCTTCCCCACAAGCCAAGTCCAACGGAGCGGTAAGCTTTCAGAATTAACCCCACTTGAAATCCTGACTCCATTGTCTAGTACTCCGGAAAGCGAAATGTCATCTGACTCTATCGAGTTGGAGGGCTGGGAGGAAATCTACAAAGAGGAGTGCCTTAGCTTCAAGGCCAGCCTAGAGACCCAAGCTCAGATTCTGAGAAATGATCCGGAAGGTCAAGGAGTATATCGTATGAGGGATGTTTGCAAAGAGCTAATCTTACTTTCCCATCAGGCAGAGCGAATCAAGGAGGCTGCGTTTGAGATGGTCGATGAAACCCCCAACAGTGTATATGTCCGGAACGCAACTCCCGAGTGGCTCTCCTCCCAATTTGGAGACCCGCAGCTAGAACAGGTATGTATTAGCATGGAATACAGTTTGGACCGACTAGCATTTGAACTTAGATCGGACCCGTCAATAGATCTTATGGTCGCCGGACACCTTGAGCAAATGACCGACGATATTGAGATGGATTTCCTTTAAATAGTGCTAATGCATTTACTTATTTGTGACCTCTAATTGCTCTTTGAAATTGTAATAAACACGAATAGTCGGCCACTATTAGCCTCTACCGCATACTTTAAATCCAACCTTCCAACTTGCCCCACATTGGAACTGACCTAGCCAACCACAACCCGTACTACTCAAGATCTCAATATTACGGGGCTCATATTAGCCAATCACACACTTCACATTCAGCCATCCGATTACGTACTTTCGCCATGGTGAGCAACAACAGTACCGACCATCAAGTCGACCAAATCACCACCACTGGTCAGACATCCGACCTTCCAATGACCAAGGATCTCAATGCCAATAAAATCAATTCCAGCGACAAGTCCGATATCAAAACCGACCTCGACAGTGATCAGATATAACCTATTGTGTGTATAGATTGAAGAAATTGAAGTTTCAACAATCAACTGTGATTCTGCTGTAGCTCTCTACCAAATTTGCTCCTTTCTTCATTCGGTCATTTCCAGTAATCTTGGAAGTCGTCACCGAATTCATTGACTAAAAATCATTAATGAGCGTATACAGTTCGTGTCCTCGTGCAAACCATGTCTTTCCTCCAAGTAAACCAAATTTCCAGTACAATCTCACTTCCTTCAAGTCTAGGACCACATTGATAATCATCCCATTCTGGATATACCAGGAAACATTAAGTTTACTCCTGCTGACCAGTAACAGCCTTGGTATCTTTATTCTGAGCCTGGTTCTGTCCGTTGGCGGGGTAGTTCTGGTAAGAGCCGTAGTTCTTGTAGTTACCATAGCTCTGATAGTTATTGTTCTGAGAGCTGGGAGTAACCTGAGGGTTGTAGTTATCGTTGCTGTTGTTGTTGTTGTTCTGTTCATTGTTGGCGTCGCTCCAGCTACGGCGGTGGGGGGTGTTGACGTTGTTATCATGGACAGCCTCGTTCAGACGGTCATTCTCGTTGGCGGTGGGGGTTGCCTGGCGGTAGGCCTCCTGGTGCTTCTGGTTTGCGTGCCACTGACCGTTGGCATCGGTCCAGCCATTCTGGTTGTTTTGGTTGTTGGCGTGCCATTGACCATTCTCGTCAGTCCAGCCATTCTGATCATTTTGGTTGTTGGCGTGCCATTGACCATTCTCATCAGTCCAGCCATTCTGGCCGTTCTGGTTGTTCTGGTTGTTCGCGTGCCACTGGCCATTGGCATCGGTCCAACCATTCTGATCATTTTGGTTATCGGGGTGCCATTGTCCGTTGGCATCAGTCCAGCCATTCTGGTTCTTCTGGTTGTCATTTCCCCCATCACGGGGCTGAACAGTGCCGTCATTGGCGTGCCACTGCCCGTTCGCGTCGGTCCAACCGTCCTGTCCATTTTGACCATGCTGGCCGTTCTGAACGTTCTGGTCGTTCGCATGCCACTGACCGTTAGAATCAGTCCAGCCATTTTGGTTGTTTTGTTGACCGTTCTGATTGTATTGGCCGTTCTGGTTGTTGTTGTCGCGCCACTGGCCACTCTGTTGAACTTGGCCGTTCTGATTGTAGCGATTATCGCCGTTGTTGGCAATGAACACGCCATTCTGCCATTGTCCCTTTCGGTACTGTCCACTCGGGTCCCACTGACCGGCCACGTCGTTGGGGTCCACGGGGCGCGCGAGGACACCTAGAGGCGAGACAGCCAAAAACAGGAGGGTGTTGACGATGGAGTAGTGCATCTTGAAGGGAGGTGAACTCGAAGAGTTTCAAACAAAGTACGGATGATTGTTGGTTTCGGGAGTTCTGCACCAATCCTGTGGTTCTTGAGATTGTTTTCAGTTGAGAATGGTGATTGAAACCCGGTTCGTCGGCCTGTATTTATATCTAAGCAACTCCAGCCCCAATTTCCACATTATGGCTGCTTAAAGATACTACTGAATAGAGTTGGGAGCCTTTCGTAAGAATGTCTGAGGTCGGCTCACGCCATTCCTCGGTGAGGGTTGATGGGGTTTGACGCTGCAAGGGACTCCACCCAAACGTGTAGTTGATAATCATACTTTCTTGCGGGGGATAAGCGATCGGATGTACAATGATCTCAGTCAACTGTGAAGGATGTAGTAGCACACGCAATACAGACTATAACAACAAAGATTAAACTTCCCTCGGTGGATCTTTGGGAAATTGCATGATGAACCTCGCGTGAATCTGCAAAAATTCCGTAGATCCCGTGCGCAAGGGACTATTCACATTCCTCGATGATCACCCGCGGTCAAATAGTGCTGATCCGTTCTGGCTACACAGACAAGCCACGCTTACGCCATCTCAATGCATCCATGGATATGATGCTGTCTTCCATGTAGTTGACAACCCCTTGGGGGATTCTCGCATTGACCATGCACCACGCGGTGGGAGACTCATGGGATGGCCAAACGTGTGAAACCTGCAGGGTACACGTTGCTTTCTGATTAGAAATGGCTATGAAGATTCAATCTGATGTCAGAGTTGAAGCTGGGCAAAGTCCAATCCGTGAAGTTGCGGTCTGGAGCTCATGTCTGCTCATCACAGAAACCAGGGCAGCTTTATTGCCCCTTGATGGAGTGAAAATCTATTTTGCGCAGTTTATTCTTATAAATCATTCAGCAAACTACTCTCAATTTTCAAATGGACTGTATGTTCAACAAAGATTCTCATGGAGAGGATTCCAGACGAGAATCCGGTGAGCGACTTCTCGCAGAGGAAGAAGGCACTCTCTGGAGTGGGGAGGAGATAGCATCACCTACTTGCAACAGCTTTGCAGTATGTCTCCTGCAGTTGAGTGCGATTGTGTTGGTATTCCTAGTCGGGACTCTGTTCGGTTTTCACTGGCGTGGTGACTTGGATGACCTTTGCAGTCGACATGTTTCTCAATATTGTGAGATCTCCAAGCTTCCGTGATGGACCTCATTAATCTCAACTGAATATAGCAACTGTCATGAACGAAGTTCGCATCCGATATAGTCTACAGGAATTCAACGGCTCTCTCCTGAAAGAGAATGTTTTCCGACAGGATGCTGGCCCAGATGTTGATGCAGCGTGGGAGTCCTTGGGTGTCAACTGTTTGTCTTCAAACTGATCGACTACCCTGTGGTATTGGCTAACTACAACTCTTATATCTAGACCGCAGTGTTCGAATACCGCCAGAGGACGCAGAACAATCTGGACTTGCTACCGACCAAGTGAAGATCAATGCCAAATATGGGGGAGGATTTCCTGCAAATGTTGAGGGCTTGCACCACCTTCACTGTTTGGTTTGTGTCTTATATCCAAACCCCATACTGTGAATGATGTATACTAACACGGACAAGAATCTCCTCCGTCAATCTCTTTACTACAACTATGACTACTACCACACCAGGGGGGAAGGGCCCTTCATGAACAATGACTATATCGTCCGCCGCCACGTGTGTATGTTTTCTTCATTTTACTCTCCCCGTAGGTCTTTGACTGACAATTTCTCTCATCGCAGCACATTGCCTTGATATTCTGCGCCAAGAGCTCATGTGCACCGTGGACAGTGGGGTGTTAGGTCAAGTCTGGATTTACCCCGAGAATCCGGAGCCCTATGTTGACTTCAACACTCAGCATCGATGTAAAAACTTTGACGCTGTCCGTCGCTGGGCCGAAGAGAACCAGCTGCCTCAAGATCCCCCTTCGGACTTCTTGCAAGCACCATCAGAAGGAGACCGAATCTATAGCCAAATGCCGTAAGTCATGACAAGTGATATTGGAGGTAAAGCTTCAGCCAGCCTACGAAGCTGTATAGCTACCAAGTGTAAAACCCCATTCTAAGGGGAGATTTTGGTGTCTGAAAGCCTGCTTTATTGAAACTTTCCACCTGTCATCATCCTATACACATATACCTAGATTCTTCCACCTACTCTCTCCACACCTACTCTATACTACTACCATACCGCACCCTCGTATTGATTTCGAGTCGCACAAAAATAACATGCTCGATCCTATCGCCCAAAAGACCTCACATACAGGTATTCGCGCTATTCTCGAGGGGAAGTACGGGTAATACGATTAGCCGTGCACCCTGAAGAGGTACCTTGGTCACTGTAAATCGCCTATATGCCGTAGTTTCACAACTAGGGGAGAGATCCGAGATCGAGTTGAATAGCTTATACCTGAGTATAATACATAAGTAATCCTTGCAATCCTCACTAAAGAATTCGAAACGATCTTGAGGCTTTGGCGAAGTCTAGGATAAGTATAATAGCATAAAAATAAAAAGTTACCCGACAAGAATAAAAACATCACAATACGTGAGACTACCCCGTTGAACAATAGTTCCTTTGATTCAGTCAAGATTATAAACACTCAAGTCCTCACTCATCCCCGGCAAAACATATACGGCACTTTCCTCACCACCAAAAACCTTCAAAGGCTTAATCCCCCGAAACTCCATTCCAAGCTTCTCCAGAGTACCCCGACTGCGCTGATTCGTAGGCGAACAGAATCCAAACACTGCATCCACCCCAAGAGACTTATTTGCATACTCCATAAGAGCCTTTGCCGCCTCGGTCGCATATCCCTTCCGACCTTCCTCGGGTAATATGGCAAACCCGATATCCGGGGCAAGATAATGTGGGCCTGGCGGAATTCCCTTCATGAGCGACACAGTGCCGATCGGCTGCAGGCCATCGTCGGTCCTTCGTGAGACTAGGAATATGCCGTAACCATGGTAGGCGTAGTGTTCAGAGACTCTGCCTTGAAGGAATGAAGATGCCTTTTCAGGTGTGGTGACTCCAGTTTTCCCGCAGGAGCTGACGAAATCGTCTGTATTCCAGAGTTGGACTAAGAAGTCGCAGTGGGTCGGGTCGGCGGGGTTGAAGGGGCTGATTTGGAGACGTGAGGTGGGGATTGTGAAGCCCGGTGGGAAGGAGAATCCTGACATTTTTGTTTGGCCTGATGATATCAGACTTGACTCTAGTGAAAGAGAGAGAGAGTGTGTGTGTATGTGTGTGTATCTGTGGACAATGGGTTTCGAGTTTCGGTATGGTTTGTCTCTTTTATGTCTGCTTGTGTCAGATATGAGATACCATAAGACCATTAATGAGTCACAGATTGGAGGCTATATTCCAAGGAAGCTTAGCGTTGACAGGGGTTAACGGCCTATTGAGGTGTGTGGCGTCCTGGCTACGACCCTTTATCTATAAAGATAGAGAGATGAGATAGGGGCAAAGACATGACGCTCTGCAAGTAGATATATTAGCTATAAGATGATATGAAATTGATTATAACCTCTTATTGTCCCATCTTCATGCCACCATTGGCACAGACAACACTGCCCGTACACCAAAGACCATCGGGTGTACACAACATGCCAACAACACCCGCAACCTCACTAGTGAAAGCCGGTCGACGACCACCCATCTTCTCCTGAATCAACCGCTTCTGCTCATCAGTCAAGCGACTCAGAGTGTCCTGGTTATTCACATCCAACTTGCTCATCGGTGTGTTATCCTGGTACCCCTGGATATCCTTCCAGAACTGCTCTCCGGTCGCAAAGTACATATCACCAACAACAGGGCCGGGGTTAACGGCATTAACAGTCGCACGGTCTGCCAGCTCACGTGCCCAGGTGCGAGTCATCGCCTCAATGGCAGCCTTTGTACCGCCATAGATTGACTGGCCCACGAAACCGAGGGACGAGGACACACTGGAGATGCTCACGATACGACCGCTTCGGTCTGCGGGTAGGAAGGGGGCGCACGCCTGTGTGAGGAGGAGCGGGGCGAGGACATTGATCGCGTATTGCCAGTTGAAGTGCTCGGCCTCGATGGGACCCTTGGTGGCATCGTTCAAGTTCCGGTCTTGCGATACACCAGCATTATTGATCAGAATGTCGATTCGGAGCTTGCCATCGGTGCTGAAATGATCTCGTGCAGCGCCGATGATGGCTGTCACGGCTTCGGTGGGCTTGCTTAGATCGGCTTGCACACTCTCGCATTTGATGTTATGGGTTGTGGCTAAGGAGGAGCACAACGCTTCGGTGGGGGCGCGCGAGAACTCTGAAGTGAAGTTCAGTAATAATGAGCAGCCCTTTTCGGCCAGATTGCGGGCAATTGCTTCGCCAATTCCTGTGTAGATGGCGTGTTAGCTTGATTTGTTGATATGCGGGGGAGGCTGGGCTTTACCCCGCGATCCGCCAGTGACAATGCCGAATTTCCCTTCAAGTACTCGAGTCATTTTTGGATGTTAATGGAGGAGATAGAGAAATAAAGAAGATTAAATTGATTGAGGAGGGACCTTTCCTCCTCTTTAACCTCTTTTCTCTTATTTAGCCGAGACTTGCTCCCCATCCCCACGGAGGAAAATTGCCCGTTAGAGAGAGACGGAGGAAATGCGGGAAGGCGGGTAAATTCCAAATTCGGCCCGAATTGTCTTCAGCCGGTTATAACTACAATAGCTATTATCAATTCGAGGGTCTTCTATGAAACTGGACCAAAAACTGGCGACCATAGTCTCTAGTTTTTGAGCTTTGTTCATCAATCAGGTTCAACTTCAACACGGTCTAGAGGGCAACAGGGGGTACATGTAACGACGTATTGAATAGCAGTCTAGTTGTTTGTTATGTTTGTATGGGTTGCATTGTTTGCTGGTGTGAGGGTACTTCTTCCCCGATTCCTTTCTTTGCCCAGCTTTGTTCTCGTAGAACAGACTAGCGAGAGCAATGGTTTAGCTTCCCAATGTTATTCTATGTCCAATGTAGCATGACTATGCCAAGCTGTGATCATAAGCTTGGATAATTATGATTTCGGCAAGCATTTTTTTGTATTTTTGATCACACTGAGTGTACCTGAAAAGTGTCGTCCTCACAACAAGCGAAGATTCTCCATCAGCCACAGCGCAGCAGCGTAGTCAACAAACACAATGACACCACCTTAGTGATACCCTCGTCAGACACTGTGAACACAGCAGTGAAAGTCGTAACACTCCCGAATAAAAGCCCCGCGACTGGTGTTATCTTATTGATGCAAGCTGGAGGTCGTGTGGGAATGCTCGCCGCGACCCAGGTGACGGCATTTTGCACGGCGTTAACAGTAATGAGTCTCTTCATGCGTGCCAACCATATCCATATCCCGAAGGATACAAGGTGATTACCCCACCCCCGCAATCACGCCAGAGATGGATGACACTCCCAACTACCCCCCGGCGAATTTCACAGTGTTTTGCCCGACACTCGGCCCCCATAGAAAGATATAACATTCGCGGGTGTGTATCTGTTGTAACCCGCATCTTTCGAGGCTAGCACATAGTTATTACAATTCTCGCGGTCATCTCATCATGTCGCACCTCTCCAGCGCTAACTTCACTGTGCCACCGGGCGACCAGAGCGTCCAGGTTCGAATCATCGATTCGACCACTAGGATTAACAACTTAAAACTGGGGTTTCTCATGGAACCCCCAATGGAGGGGATGGAATATATGCTCCCCCTTCCGGCTTGGTCATTCCTGATCGAGCATCCTTCAGGTCAAAAGATTCTTTACGATCTTGGAGTTCCGAAAGATTTGCGCTCGTTTTCGCCGGCCATCTGTGAACATATCGAACGGCAGGGATGGAAAGTCGACGTCAAGGAAGAGGTGATCGACATCCTCGACACAAGTGGCATCGCGGCAAACGAAATTTCCGCTATCATCTGGAGGTGAGTACATCATTCCGATATTGACATTGATAAGGACACATACGCTGTAAGGTTCTGACGTTTTCTGTTTGCTGGAAGCCACTGGCATTGGGATCATATTGGTGACCCATCGCGGTTTCCTTCCTCCACTGAGGTCATTGTTGGCCCTGGTTTCAAGGCCGAATTTCTTCCTGGTTATCCAGCGAAGCCAGATGCCTTTGTATGCGAAAGTGACTTTGCGTAAGTCTTGGGATAGCATTTCCCGCGAAATATTATAATGGAACTCATGTTTGCACATCGGCTAACCTTTCTACAAAAGCGGACGGAATCTACGGGAAATAAACTTCTCAAACTCCGTCCAAGTTGGCGAGTTCCGAGCTGTTGATTATTTCGGCGATGGTTCATTCTATATAATGGACAGTCCCGGTCACGCAGTTGGTCACCTTGGAGCATTGGCTCGCACAACGACTAATCCCGACACGTTCATTTTCATGGGAGGTGATCTCTGTCACCACAGCGGGGAAATTAGGCCATCGAAACATCTCCGGATTCCTAGCGATATTCAACCGAGTTTCACTACTCCCATCTCATTCCCATGTCCCGGGGACTCAGTTTACGAGCAGTTGCTCGTCCGACGGACTGGATCGATGGACAAGCCTTTCTTCCGACCAGCCATGGGGCTAAATATTGAACAGACAATAGATACAATCGAGAAAGCACAAGTGGCCGATGCAGATAGCAATGTCTGGTTTATATATGCTCACGATCGCAGCTTATTGGAATCTGTGGATCTCTTTCCTTTGTCGGCCAATGGTTGGAAGGAGAAGAAGTGGCGGGAGAAAACACTGTGGGCTTTCCTCGACGAGTTTGAAACAGCAATCAAGCAGATTTGAATTTCTACTTGATAAACTTGGCTTTACTGGGTGATGTGTTTAGTTATTTTGATGAACCATGATCAGAGCCAGTCTTCTAATTCAATAAGCATTCCAACTCTTCTGGTTTTCTTTCTCTTCTCCCTCATCAAAGCAAAGGATGGTTGAAAAATGTAAAAGATCATCTATAGGGGTGTTACAATATAGTCAGTTCTTTTGCTATGCCTCTCCTAAAGCCTATAGATACTGCGGAACGGCTGTTCTAAATGAAAGCACCTGGCTTTTTACATGGGTTTTGCGTGCGGCCCCCGTCTAATGACTGAACTATGCGGCGTGCCCGAGATAGGGGTTTGACGCATAAATCCATGATTCTAGGTCTACGTAACCATCACGAATGCGCCTTTTTCTTTCTTCTTATTTCGATGTTTCTTGCTTACACTTAATTCGCGTTTGGCCACTTCATCTGCTCAGAGTCACTTATGCAATGGACCTTTTCTCTGCTTAGATTCGCCACTTTCTTTCCCTCGTAGTAGACTCCCAGAAGACTTTCACAGACAGTAGTATAGATGATGTCTGAGTTTCCCCACCTTAAATTCCGAACTCCGTACAATAGCGCAATACAGCCCCACATGTATATGAAGGGCACATCAGAACGTGGAAGAAGGCGATATCCGAGTGGATGATATCGGGAAAGCCACGAGGCCATTGGACAGAACAACCGCCAAGCGGCGAGCTAAATTATAGACCGCGGGAAACATCAAGAATCCCCACCTTTAAAAGCTACAGAATGACAACAGAGACCTAACATCTCCTCGCAATCCCCTTTAACTCAAGAATGACAGACTCTACCATTTTGATCACGGCTGGTCCGTACCAATTCCTCGCGAATCTCGAGTCTGCAGCTCCCAAAACAGTCAAACTGTTCCGATCTCTCCTCCCATACCGCCAGAAGCTCATTCACGTTCGATGGAGCGGTGAGGGTATGTGGATTCCGTTGGGCGAGACCAATTTCAACATCCCCTTTGAAAACCACACGGCGCATCCCGCGCCTGGTCAGATTCTGTTGTACCCCGGGGGTATCTCGGAGACCGAGTTCCTCTTCTGCTATGGAGGAGTTGCTTTCGCAAGTAAGATGGGAGCACTTGCTGCCAATCACTTCTTGACTATCACTGAAGGATCTGAGAACCTACATGCGCTTGGAAATTTGACTCTGTGGGAAGGAGCACAAGATGTGTTATTTGAGCTCGCGGATGAGGATAAGTATGTCTCGGCGATCGACTCTGTCGAGTATATCACTAACGCAATACAGAATTCGGCAATTCAAGGCCGGTCGATCTGCTAAACTTTAGTTTATACGCATGTGTAATATCGACAATCACAATATCGGAGACAATTGTGCGAATGCGCAGAATGAGCATGCGTATATTTCCAAAATATACTATCAAAACTCAGCTACTATTCTATATTTCTGATTTTATCCTTTGTACCTCAATTTCGTCCACTTGCCTCAACATATGTATCTGATAATACCTAGCAGTCAATACCTTTCCTTTTCTATTTTAGTGCTCACCCCTTGCCGCTTTTTGATCACTGAATAACCCAGGTGATGATCAGTTAGCAGATCATATTGACCATGATGTCCCAGTCTGTGGAAGCGTCTAGTTGGGCCTGCTTGGTTTGAATGAACTTAAGAAGTTTGACTTCGAGGCTAGTCGAATGTAAAGACGGGTTTTCTGACTCAGCGGCATCAATATGTTTGATGGCAAATCTTGCAACGACGCCGGTTGACAAAAGCCCCAGCATGCGTACTGCTGCGTTGACAATCGGCCGAACGCACATGAGCAGTCCAAGACAAGTTGGAAAGCTAATAACATGATCCATAGTCGCAATTATATCGCCCACGTTGTCAAACTGGTCCAGGAAACTAAAGTGTTCCCCAAACTGAGAATGTTTTTAGTGAGCAAGATGTCCTTGGCTTTCCATTTCCTTCCAAAATCACATATCTCCCAAGGAACTGACGTGAAATCCGGTATAGTTTCGTATGCACATACATTGTAGAGGTATCACATCCCAAGTAGACCAACCCCGCTATAATTCCAGCACCCCACTTCCACTTCAATTTCAACTACACTTTTCCAAGTTCAAGTTCAACAAATACCTAGTTCCATTTGTTCAAATATAAAAATGCCTTCAAACACCCCCACAATCCTTTTGCTAGGAACGTGTGACACCAAACTCCCAGAACTCCTCTATACAAAAGCCCAAATCGAATCCAACAACGCCACAGCCCTTTTGATGGACATCGGCCGCAACCCAACCACCCATGAGGAAATCACCATCCCCCAAAGCGCCTTAACCAACGCCTCGCCCTCCTCAACCCCAATCCCGGATCTAGCAACCCTCCCGCGGGCCGAGTATATAACCACACTGACACCCTACGCCACGAAAAGTGTAACCCACCTCCACGAATCCCACCAAATCCACGGGATCCTTGCCATCGGCGGCTCATGCGGCACGGCACTCGGGGCAGCAGTCATGCGGAACGCGCTACCAGTTGGATTCCCCAAACTACTAGTATCAACCATGGCGTCAGGGGATGTGGGACCGTACATCGGCGAAACAGATATTAGCATGATGTACAGCGTTGTCGATATTGCGGGCCGGAACCGCGTTTTGGAAGGTGTTCTTGATAATGCTGCTGGGGGCATTGCGGGGATGGCGAGTGCGTTTTTGAAACGAGAGCAGGGTGAGAAGGAGAAGAAGGCCGACGAATCTTCCCGGGTGAAGATTGGTATATCCATGTTTGGAGTTACGACGCCTGGTGTTACACGCGCTCGGGAACGTCTTGAGGAAGTCCTGCCCAGCTGTGAGGTTTATGTCTTTCATGCTACGGGGTCTGGAGGGAGGGCTTTGGAGAGGCTTGTGAAGGAGGGGCAAATTGATGCGGTGCTTGATTTGACGACTACGGAGATTGCGGATGAGGTTGTGGGTGGGGTTCTTAGTGCTGGGGCTGGACGTTTGACTGCGGCTACGGTGCGGGATATTCCGAGGGTTGTTAGTGTTGGGGCGTGTGATATGGTTAATTTTGGGGAGGTGGGGAGTGTCCCACCTGTTTTTCGGGAGGCGGGGAGGTTGTTCCATGAGCATAATGCCACTGTTACGCTTATGCGGACTACTAAGGAGGAGTGTGTGAATATTGGGGTGTTTATAGCAGGAAACTTGTTGCGGGATCCGAAAGATCAAGGGCAATTGAGACGGACGAAGGTGGTTCTGCCTGTTGGTGGGGTGAGCATGTTGGATGTTCCTGGTCAGACATTCCAGGATACAGAGGCAGATGAGGCATTGTTTTCAACTTTGGAGAAGGAATTGGAAGGCAGTGGGATATCAGTCGTGCGAGATTCGCGTGACATCAATGATCCTGACTTTGCTGTGGCGGTAGCAGATGAACTGGTGAAATTGATCTACGGAGAATAGATCGTACGGCATGGCCAGAGATATGAACCCAAGCCAATCGTCTACGGGGAGAAACTACACAAGAAATAAAATGTTGACGCATAGCTTCGATTTGTTGAAGTTCTACACTATCACAATCGGCCCATGGAGGCCTACACACCGAAATAAGGTATCAAGAATAAAATCCCATCACGCAGTGTTGAATGCAAGACCATCCCAGGTCATCCCACGCCAAAACAAAACATTAGAAACACACCTCCGGTGCAGGCCACTTTTTATGCCGTTGAAGGACAACCATTTTTGAGTTCTAAGTTGATAGAGAACCCGAATATGCCAATCATAACATCGTCGAATCATGTTGAAAGTCTATTTCCCAAGATTATCATCGAACGCAGTTGAAAATGTAAAGAAATTAGTAACGGTAGATCTCGGGCTTGAAGGGGCCGTTGACATCCAGGCTGAGGTAGTCGGCCTGGACGGGGGTCAGCTCAGTGAGCTTGGCGTTAACGTGGTCCAAGTGGCAGCGAGCGACCTGCTCGTCGAGCTGCTTGGGCAGAACGTAGACACCGATGGGCTTGCGGCCACCGGCACCGAACTCGATGTACTTCTTGCCGAAGGCCTCATCCTCAGCCTTGAAGAGGGCAATCTGGGCCAGGACCTGGTTGGAGAAAGAGCAGGACATGACGAAAGAAGAGTGGCCGGTAGCACAGCCAAGGTTGACAAGACGGCCCTCAGCGAGAAGGATGATGTTCTTGCCGTTGAGGCTGTAACGGTCAACCTGGGGCTTGATGTTCTGGACGGACTGAGAGTTGGCCTTCAACCAGGCGACATCAATCTCGATATCGAAGTGACCAATATCTATAAGATTGTTAGTATTAATACATAAACCAAAGTGTTCATTCGAAACAACTTACTGCAGACAATGGCGTCGTTGCGCATGGCCTCGAAGTGACGGCCAACAAGGATGTCACGGCAACCAGTAGTGGTGACGAAGATCTGACCGACAGGGGCAGCAGCCTCCATGGTGTTAACCTCGTAACCCTGGACAGCAGCCTGGAGGGCGTTGATGGGGTCGACCTCAGTGACAATGACACGGGCACCCATGGAGTGGAGAGCCTGGGCACAACCCTTGCCGACATCACCGTAACCGGCGACGACAGCGATCTTACCAGCGATCATGACATCGGTGGCACGCTTGATACCATCGATAAGGGACTCACGGCAGCCGTAAAGGTTGTCGAACTTGGACTTGGTGACACAGTCGTTAACGTTGATGGCGGGAACCTTCAGCTTGTTCTCCTTGAGCATCTTGTAGAGGTGGTGGACACCGGTGGTGGTCTCCTCGGAGACACCGAAGCAGTCATCAAGCATCTCGGGGTACTTGGTGTGGATGAGGGAGGTGAGGTCACCACCGTCGTCAAGGATGAGGTTGAGCTTCTTGCCATCCTTGAAGGCCTGGAGCTGCTGGTCCAAGCACCACTGGTACTCCTCCTCGGTCTCACCCTTCCAGGCGAAGCTGTAGAACACAATGGTCAGATGAAAAGTCCATGAAGGGCTATGAAACCCGAATTATTTCAGTAAGAATGAAAACTTACACAGGGACACCAGCGGCAGCAATGGCGGCGGCGGCGTGATCCTGGGTGGAGAAGATGTTGCAAGAGGTCCAGGTGACCTCGGCACCGAGGTGAGTGAGGGTCTCGATGAGGACAGCGGTCTGGATGGCTGGAGGAGCGGTCAGCACGGGCTTTGCTTTTTGTGATGGATCAATTCGTACTCATGTGAAGACAACCAGCGATACGGGCACCCTTGAGGGGCTGGTCGGCACCGTACTTCTCACGGATGGCCATGAGACCGGGCATCTCAACCTCGGAGAGCTCGATCTCGCGGCGACCGAAGGCGGCCAGTGACTATGGGAATGGTCAATGATTGTAAGGGGGGGAAATAGGTGATTGAGAGAGACATACGAGGTCAGCGACCTTGAACTTCTGTGCGGGGGCAGACATTATGTGAAATATGTATTCAAAAACTGCTAATTGTTAGAAAGAAATATCAAAAAGTGATTTTGTGGAAATTGACTGACCAAAGGTGTATGAATGAGAAAGGAAGAGGAAAGAGAGAAAAGGAAAATAGAGGGGAAAGGAAAACTCACGGGCTTGAGGGGATCCACCAAGGTCCCAGAACGTGGCAGGTACTGGTACTCCATAATGGCATTGTTTCAATATGTATAATTAGGTACCAGTACTTCTCAACAGTTATTTGGTCTCCGTAGTGGGCTGACTGATGGCGGGGGTCTTGCTTAGTCAGAATAAGCAGCCACCACTTACATAACTTGCAGCCGTTGTAGTCACGTGATATTTATAACGAAGCCCTAGAGAGTAGTAGTTAGTTGGCTGGACGGTTAATGAAATGACATATAGAAGTATATCTTCTTGTGTCACAAGCTACGTACTTCCAGTTTAAGTCAAAAGTACACCAATTCGAGTCTCAAGAGCATTATGTGAAATACATGGACAAATTATGTATGCATTGATGCGGCAAGACCCTAATCAGAACTAGTGCTGTTTGGGTGGGGGCGAAATATCCACGAACATGTATAGTCCCTGTTAACTCGACAACAGAGGCATGTACGGACAAAGTGTGCCACCAGGGACTTTAGTCATATTTGCTATTACTGCCAAATTTTACGTACAAAGTAAGTATTATTCATTCCCTCTTCGTAGTTAAGGACTCGGGACCCCGGGGGTGCACTTGAGGGGGCTACTACCACCCCATATTAGGCCCTAAATGATTCGGAAAATCGATCCTACACTTATCAACCATGTAGTATAAATTCTGTTCTTGAAAACCCTCATTTATCTTCAGAAGAAAACTTTGCAATTGAATGACACCTAATCTTGCTGTTAGGCCACTTTATATAAATTCTATAGAGCTTGTTACGGGATGTATGCTCTCATATTCTAATTTCTAAAAATGTATCCCGGTGTGCTCAAATCGGTTCCCTGGAGCAGAGAGCAGCAAGACAACCAGCGAGTCGAGGCGAGTATTCTATGCCCCTTTCATAACCAGTCCACATAGTCAAAATCAGATGTTGTGCTCCAGCTTTGGTACATATTCGTCATTGAGAGGCTTCATCAGCGCGTCACACTTGGAAACTTCTCGCAGCCTGTCTAGATCGGCGAATCCAAAATGGATCAACCCAGCAAGGAGACATTTTTCGAGCATAGCCATATATGACCGGGCTTCCGATCTATTTTCATGAAGTTAGGACATGCTCGAAGAACGGATTGCCATAACGTACCCCTGCACGAGTCTTGATCTATGCGTCACCCATTCATTTAATTTTGCAACACAGGCCATCGCAAGGATAAACACCAAGGACGCGCCGCGCACGCCGCTTTCATGAATACTGATAACAGCAGACAAGGGAATAGAGATCGAGTAAAATGTGCTGGACGAGTATCCACGCAAGTACGGCGTGTGGGTGAAGAAAAAGATCCCCAGTCGGGCATAAAGGAAGCTGTCTAGCGCAGAGATAGACACCCTGTGTAGACTGGGCAGTTGTAGTAGGTATGATATGGTGGAGATGACTGGGCGCAGCAATGCACCTGTTTGGTATGGGGGTCGAGTTGTACATGGATCGCCACGACGAAGCGTCTTCACGAGAACCAAACTGGTCCAAGACCAGATGAAGCATGACAGCACATCTATCACCTCGGGGAGGATATTATCATTGCCAAGTCGGGCTTTGGAGATATGGTATCGACTCAATTCCATGACCCCGGTGCCAATATGTATGAACAGGCACGCTTTGCTCTTGGAGAACTTTGTGCTATACATTCGAACTTGCCGTCGTGTGTGATAGAGGATGATGACCAGATATGCAGAACAATAACAGATCAATGGTGCGATATCGGATTTCCGACACATGGTGACGGTTGCTGGATCAATTATTGAAATTTGTCAAAATGGAATAAGGTCCCCCTAGGCCATAAACAGGAACCTTGGTTTTTGTTGTGGTCTAGTGATAAATTAGCCTGTATTATTTCCAACAGAATTGCTTCGTGTATTTTCTTGTGGTGTCCGGCCTTAGGCCGCAATTTATTGCCTCAGGCATCAACCCCTCTGTAGATAGATATTTGACGGGTAGATCGCTCTCCTTAGTAATCAACTCTCTCCCTCCCCTCTCGCTGACCCCCACAATAGTAGGTGCCACAACATATTTAATGGTTCAGATCAAATCGGCCATTTAATAAAAGAACTGAATAGTGAGGGCTTCGTATTTTAAGTAGGCTTCTTGGTCTATCAGCAGTTAGCTCGCTTCTTTGGGTATACATGCGCAGATCATCAACTTTTGCATAACATGTTACAATGTGCGGTCTGCATGGTCATCAAAGTACATATGATTTGGTGATGATATGAATCTCCAGGAGAATCCACGGAAGTGTTACACCAACTTAATCTAGAAATCACTGAACCTGTTAGCACATACGCTATTGCGTCATAGACACGGCCTTTGGGGGACAGGGGGTTTTTTCTGTTTGTTTACTCAACAACAGGAATATGTTCATATAGATCGTATAATACTGCAACCTAGCGATACGGAGGATGCATCTATACATGTGCTATGCATATGCACTAATCTCATAATGTGCAACTCTTTTGCCAGCCCATTTATTACAATATCAGAAGCTCTCTACTCAGTCCCTGCATGACCATTGATGTTCTCTGGTGCGACTGGAAACAAGGACATCTTGGTAATAGAAATTCCAATATAAGGGATCGCCGAATATACAAAACAATGACGCAGTAGCTCTCGGATAGTCATTTGGGAAGCCAATGTCAGAGCTTCGTGTGGCTCTAGTAGACCTCTGCATATCCCACAAAGCCCATAGCCCAACCCACTAATGGGTTGGGCTTTGGGCGCATTCTTCGAGCCCACAGGGCCCATTTGGGCTCATAATGGGCCCCGACTATTAACCAAATAATGCAAACATGCTAATTTATCGCAACTACATAATTAATGCATTCTTCCCTAGTTTTTCGGGTATTGAAACTACCGTTCAAGCTATATATAAAGTTTTCCTTTTTTACAAGAGGTACTTATTCTTATTAAGGGGTTCATGCACTACACACTAGAGTTCAAGCCATTAATGCACATATCCTTTGTTCGTGTACAGGACATGCTAAGTCTGGAAAAATAAGAACGCAAACCACCCATGTTGAGTTGGAGTAACCTCAACGACCCATTTTCATCGTGTCCCTCGTGCCCCTCGTGCCCATAGAACGCTGCAAAGCCAGGCAAATTGAAGTATCGGTGATACCCATAAGAGATTCGTCAAACAGCAGAAAGGAGAAAATGAAAGGATCAAAATCAAATAAACAACATGGTCTCATAAATCATGGAATGAGCAAAGTCATAACGGCTCAAAAAAAGAAAGAAAGAAAGCAACGCTAGTAAGAGATCTGCGCTGGCTCATAAGCCCCATAAGGATTCCCATTACGATAAGCAGGGGTATGATCGCTCCGAGATTCGTTCGTCGACTGTGCATATTCAATCTCATCAGGCCAGCGATGACAAGAAGGCGCACCCTGGCTACGAGCACGACGACGCTCACGCCTAGCAGCGCGTTGAACACATTCCTCTTGGAACGTGGTATTTTCCTTTCGCTTCTCCATAACCTCCTTCCATTCACCATAGGCACCCTTGATACCGAGCGCAGCAAGACCGATACTTACAGCATCCTTGGTGTTAGCTTTCATGCGTCGTTTGCGAGCCTCTTCGGGCGTAATCTCTCCCTCTTTCAACTGCTGCATTCGCTCTTTCCTCTTCTCCATGCTACCGTAGAGGCCGTGCGCAGCGTGGATGGTAGCCACACTGGCCAGACCTCCCGTAATCAGCATATCCCGCTGCAACTTCTTGCGTTGCTTCTTTTCATCAGAACTGGAACCTAGGTCAGAATCACTCTCGGAGGTCGACGCGTGGCCATGGTCCTTAGAACCGGCACCTGATTCACCGCGCGATGCGCGGCTGGGTGCATATGGGGGTGGGTTTGTTCCGTCCAATGAACGGTGTCGACCTACATCTCTCGAGCTTTTGCCCCGTCTCGAGTCCCTGTTGTAATAATCACTGTCCGCATCTGAATCCGAATAGTCGTCGTGTCGATGTCCCCGGTGATGACGTCTCTCTCGATCGTCCCGATACTCCCGACGATGCTCCTTGCGATCGTCCCTGCTGTCGCGGTGACGGTCTTCTTCTTCTCCAAGTCCCAGGGCGGCGATGCCCTTGTTAATGTACTCCGAAACGCTCTTGCTGCGTTTGTGGGAGCCACGCTCTTCCTCATCGCTGTCACGGGAATGGTCGCGGCCGCGAGGCCGAGATCGAGACTTTGAGTATCGATCAAAGATTTCCTTTCCGGCAGCAGCAATGGCTCCAGTGGCAGCGAGGTTCTTGAGACCTCCACCACCACCTGACGAGCGACCACCATCTCGGCCACGAGATCGTGAGCGTGAACCGCCACCCACGAAGTGACTGGCAGCTAGACCTGCAAGCGTGGACTCGACAACATGACGTGTTCCGTGCTTGCTAGGATCCTTGTCAACAAGGCCGTCGGTGCCACCAGCAGTCACAGCAGCAGTGAGGACGCGCTTTCCTTTCGTACCGGCCCATTCTCCGGGCTCTTTGCGCTGTTTGAAAGCCTCAACTGCGCCGGCTGTCAAGGCGGCACGAGCAGCCTGTGCGATGCGTTGCTCGCTCTTATCGCGTTTGCTGCCTCCATCACGTTTTCTGCTGCCGCGATGGCGGCTGCGACTGCGCGAATCAGACGATGATCTCGAATATGATCTATTGCGATGGCGGGACTGGGAACGGCCGCGACCACGGTCTCCACGGCTAGCAGAAGCAGCGGCACCCCCGAGGCCTAGAGCACCCAAGGCTTGCTCGCTGAACGACTTGCGACGTCTGTGGCGGGGTGGAGAGCGACTTGGAGAAGAATCGGAATCGTATTTGGAGCGACGGGAGCCTGAGAGATATTAGAATTACTTTCAACCACATCGGCTCTGTATCACTCACGTTTATCCTCGTAGTGTCTTGATCGACGAGGACCGGAACTTCGGTAGGCAGCATCGTTGTATGGATCGTAACCGCTGACGGAGGAGGCACGGCGCACATTTTCGTAGACGGGTCGTCGCGGACGCCGAGAGCCATACGAACGCTCGTAGGCATAGTCTGAGCCTGGTGGATAGTCGCGCTGTACCTCCTCGATGGAGTCGTCGCTGGCGCGGGGTACATATGAGTCTCGCTCGTGTCTTCGATAACGGCCACGAGGATCATCATACGGATCAATATAACTGGCTGGGCGTGTGTAGCGGTCGCGCGGCTCGCGATAACGACGGTCCTCGTAGTACGCCATGGTTGAGGCGAAAGTGAGGGGGAGACAAATTCAAAGATAAAAGGTCGAAGGTTGTGAACTACTACCGTTCACTGGGAGAATATGGTGGGATGAAAAAAAGAAGTTGATCTGAGATGTATGGCGGGGCAGGGGCTGGGGTGGCGTGACGTCGATGTGGATTCAGATGGGTGAAGTAGGGGCTGAGAGACTTGGCAGTGGCTGAGAGTTGTAGATTGTGTTCATGGAGATAATAACATAGTACATAGAAGAAAAGTACAAAGTTCAAGGCAAAAGGTCGATTCTTTTTCAGACAGTATATATATCTACTTGCAAATCAAGATTATGCCAATGACGTACAAAAGAACAGCGAAGGAATGTTTCAAAAGCGGATATAACTCACCGAATGAGCATGTAGACTGATGTCGTGTATCAGATATCAGATATTACCCCGACGTCATCCTGCATCTTAAGTGCCAGGGAATTTTGAACGACCTAGCCCTATGATATACACAAATACAGACAATTGGATAATTTGTCCCTGTTTCATTTCTACTTTCCTTTGAAAGGATATACAATATACAATATACAATATAAAACCATCAGGGATTAAAATTTATGGAACGTAAACAATGGTTCCACGGGTCGCCTTCGGGGGTACCCAGTGGCTTACGATCCGACCAACACGATGCTCTGGATATCGTTGGGTGCAGAACTGGTTGCACGTAATTTCTCATGGGAATCCTTGAATGGACACTGGACAGTACTTGGCTCTCCTAGAACACATCTCCCACAAATTTCAACCATCACACATAACAGAATCACATGGTACACGAGGGATATAAAACAGGGAAATAAAAGACACATAGTAACACGTACGGTAGACCTAGACGTCTCGATATTTTGAAACGTGCAGTCATGCAAATGATCGCTGAGATATGAAAAAGACAAGAACAAAATAAAACAAAGATAAAAAAAGAACACATGTTGAGAACCCACAATAGACAGCCGAAAAAAAAGAGTACTAAATTGACAGAATCGAAACACACCGCACAGCAGTGGCTGGGCACAGAGGACCAACAGAAGAAGGAAGTCGTATAATAAACAGCAAATAGAGTGGACGGTCAGGAAAACCGCACTGCGTCCCTTTAGGGTGCCGGCGGAGCAGCCCCTGGAAGAGACCGGATAACTGTCTCCACGGGTTGACTGATGTTACGCTGGTGGGAAGCCGAGGCGTACGCCGAGCCGGGACGAACCATCGCCCACCGAGCATCAGTCTCTGGCTCCGAAGTAGAGCGCATCTCGTCCGATCGCGTGCGATGAGTCCGAATGTGCTGTTTCATATTGTCTTTTCTCGTAAACGCTTTATTACAGATTGGACAGTGCACACTCTTTTCGCCAGTGTGCTTCTTGCCGTGGCGCGCCGCATGGCCCGAAGTCGTAAACGTTGAAGAACACCCATGGCTTGCGGCATAGGGGCAAGGGTACTTATTCTTTCGACCCGTGCCGCGCGTCGCACCGGTCTGAGAAGACGCCGTTTCGGATGTGCTCGAACGAGTCTCAGGCGGCGTTCGAGGGGCTGCTGGCCCACGAGCTGGGAATTGATATGGTTCCCGTCGCGGATCCTGCCGGGCATACGGGTGATAACCTGATCGTTGACTGGTGAAGTAGTCGTAAGCTGAGCCGTCGGATGACCCGGGTGAAACAGGTTGGACGGCTTCAGTCACCGCGTCCGAGTGATGCCTCGTCCCTCGTGGTGATGTTGCTGGAGATTCGGATGAAGCTTGAGGACGGGTATATTGCGGGTCGCTGGCAGGTGGGGGTACTGGTACTCGCTCTGGATGTGGATAATGTGATGGGGATGTATGAGTCTGAGTAAATCGGGGAGCGGAGCGGACCGCAAAAGATGGGTTATCATCGTTATTCAGAATGGACACAATATTCGTCCTACAGCTGGACATCTCCTCAAGGCCCCGATGTACGGTCACCGGGGCTGGAAAACTATACTAAAGGTAGAATCCAAGTTAGTATAAACTGTTCGTAACCGGCTCAGCCGGGCTCTGGGTACTCGTAAGGACTCAAGAGATCACCGATCTGAGCCAAGGGGAGAAAGGGGAGATTGAAGAAGAGAAAGAATATCTCACTCATTTCTTGCCTCCCCCCCGGAACACACGACAAACGCACCAGCGGCTCTAGAAAGATGTTTGTCCTCTGTGTCATGTAACACGTCGACAACATTAGACCCTAATCGGCACTTGCCTGCAGGCCTAAGCAGAGGCCTGATGACTCGAGCTTGTGCCGGACTCCGTGTGTCCGTTGGAAGTGACGAGGAAGTATCTCGAAGGTTGTTAAATACTGGAGATACGACGACTTGGCAGCGATAGGGCGAGTTGAGGTCTGACAAATCTGCCTTCTTGACAGTGGAATTTGTTCCGAGGCTCGGGTCGTCTTCTTTTTTTTTCGTATTTCTCCCCGGGGGTTCCTTTTTTCCCTTTCTAATTTTGCAATTGGATGTAGGGAACACAATCCTCAACGGCAGTTGCAAACTGGCCTGGGGATGTTGCAGAAAGTTGAAGTTCAACGCCGGTTGTCTAACCGTGCAAAGTAACAGTTCTTCTAGAGAAGAAGTGCTAGGCCGTCTGAGAATATGTAGAAAAGAAATGCGCTCTGCGCGTGTCCGTGGTAGAGGTCGAAGTTGAAACGAGAAGCTGGATACGAGATAAGATGGCGAGAGTGAGTTATCGGAATGATGGGTTGAGAAATCAAAAATAACAGGCAATCAAATGTAGGAATATAGATCAAGAAGTAGAGAGAAGGAGAAAAAAAATTGATGAGCAGCCAACCATGGCCATTTAGCTAATTATACTGAAAAGAGCGAAAGAAGCCAAGCTCCAGGGTCTGTCGAGGCTCCCCAGAGGATACACTTCCATACCAAGCACGCTATTTAGTTCGGTGGAGAAATCAACCAAAAAAAAAAAGAAAGAAAGAAAGAAAGAAAGAAACGGAATGGAAACAAATACAAAAAAAGAAATATAAAACACAGGATACAATACCAAGACCCCTACGCTAATCCACCCTGTGCAGACCCGTTTTCTCCGTTTCTTCCGGCCCGCCCGCGACTCCAGTGGTCTATGACTTTTTTTTTCCTATTTCTTTCTCGGATCCCATTCTTTGAATTGCTTTTTATTCCTTCTGTAGGTTTATTCTCATTTTAAAACATAACACGGTGTGTCTGGATAGAAGTGTTAACTCCGACTGGGGTTGTCATTCGGCCTAGGGTTGCGGTTGGCCAAGCGAGAACAGAAAAATATCCACCACATCGGCAGAACTACGGATAATCATGAGACCATTGGACCCTGAACAAGTGTACTGGATTTTCTTTACGGATACGGATTTAATAGATTTCATTTATTTTAGGAAGTTGCTAGAAAAGACCAGGGATGGACAAGCTTTTAACCCTGTGCACATTATCTCCCGATGTACGTGTTCATACTCCATTGAAATCCTATCCGCACTACTCGTAGGACGACACCTCTACCTGGGGAAATCCAAGAACATACGTAAGTGATGATGTTAGTACCTTGGCCTGTTTGGGAACTCACCTCCGGTTCGGGCATTCTAGAGCGGGTATTGACTTCAATTCGGGAATCCATAGGTTGATTGGTTGATTTCTTAGTTTCTTACGAATTATAGCTCTGTTTTAGTCTTTTCTTTCTTTCTTTTTATTTATCACTGCAAGGCGATCTCGCCCTACGAAAAATAAAAATAAAAAAAGATAAGACACGGAAATGGGCCCTGGAAATCCGCTTCAACGCTTTGATAATATAATCTATTTCCATTTCACTATAACGTGGCGCCCTTGATTGTCGGACTTTTTTTTTGGTTTCTCAAAAGAGTACTTTACACCGAAATTCTCTTCTTTCTCTGAGGCTATCTGGATAATCTTTCTTCCCGAAAAGTTACATACATACCGTACAATATATTCATGGACATCTATGGTGTACGGAGGTTTATGAAAGCAATTGCCTGAACGTTCCGAGTATAGATAACCTAATTAACCTAATCTAGATCATCTAGCACTGTCTGCGTCAACATTCCGAAAACTTTACATGGATATTCCGTAGGGCCAGGGGTTAAGAGGGATTGGCCCGTGCAAGTATTCGTATTCGCGTTCATCCGCCCCGCTCCGGGAATCCATTCGCGGGGACTCTCCAGGGCTTTCCCTCTACGTTGCGGCACACGTACTCTGTAACTCTGTAACGTACAAAGCAGACGGGATTGTTTCAGAGTTGGTTTATGTATGTAAATCAATGAACCGAATAGCAGAGACCGTCCTGAATTACATCCGTCCTTAATTACATGTGAGTCAACAGTATACTCTATCCGGTCATATTGCTTTTTCCCCTCCTCTCCCGCAAGAGACCTTCTCCCGCAAATACCACACATGGCACCGGCGATCAAGCCAAGCTTCAACCTTCCGATCTGCTGGAACTAATCTAAGAAAGATCTAGTACAAACTTCGTGGGCTGAGAACGCGGACCGTTTAGGGCTTTCCCAGCCGAGCGTTGATTTGCCTATACTCGATCTTTGACGGGGCATACGTATGCAGCCTACGTATATTCCACGGTAGACGTATATCCACGGTAGTTCGGGACCGTCTAGTCCCTGCTCCAGCAAATACGCTTCCGTGCTTGTGTCGACTAAGGATTTAGTGTTCGAATCGGTCCTCTTACTCCCCCTTGGGGCTAACGCCACAAGCTTGACTCGTCAGGACCCCGTACTCGTCGCTTTGTGTTTACGTTCCTGGAAGGACAGGACCCTGTTTTTTATTTTATTTTGCCCTTCTTGTCTCCACTGGCACGCAGGGCCTCGTGGCACGCTTACTACGATGAGACTAGTCAGGTATTGACCAGTAAGATAGCTTCGCTATAATCACTGTTCTTGCTTAGCGGCATGGATACCCTAATTTACTACTGCACCCGCCACTTTTTTGGCCCACGCGGCTTTTCTTAAATGCTTACGTGTTTTAACCCTTAGGAAGTAAGTATACGAAGTAGAGGCGTAACATTTTAATTTTAATTGAACTATTTATTGATTTCATTGTAGACTTTAGATCTCAAAAAAATGTCCCCCGGCACCGGTCGGTGGTTTTACACCCGATGTCCGACTGGGAAAAAAAAGGAAAAGATTTTGATCTCCACTTAGTTCCACCATCATTTGTCTCATCTTCGAATCAGAAAACGAATGTCATCATTCAGCCACAGTCCTGTCAAACTGCTGCCTGGTTTCTAGGTGGTTATACGATGTATAGTACGTAATTATACGGCTTACTGCTATATATGACCGGAATTTATGCTTAACTCCATAGAGACGATCCGGCAGATGATTTCCCATCTACCAGCGTGGAGACTTCGCTTCCACACTAAGGTTCCCTTGTGGCTCATATTCGAATCCTTCTTACGCTATTGATCTTTTGGTCTATTTCTAGGGTTCGGGGTGATTACTATCCTTGGATAATTATGGATATATGGGCTCAGTTCATTTATATAAGATTTTATTTGGTACCTGAATTAATATACTCAACATCCTTCGGGTTTCCATGGACCCCTGCTGACAAAGCGGAGGTAGAAGCCCCGGGAGCTATCATATCCCACTGTGGACTCGCTATAACTAGGTCATTTGATTGTTGGGATAACTACAATTCTCCAACTCCCTTGCAATGGTCTGAGCGCACGTACGACAGCCCTAGATATATCACAGTTTAGGCTGCAGTCAAACATTAGAATTAGCTTCTAGGAATATATTCCGCACCCCATATCGAATATTGACTGGTCTCGGTAAAACGGCTGTTCTTGTCAGATGCCCCTGGGAAGACGACAGAACCTTTCATTACGAACATATTACCAAGTTCATTGAGAATTAATTATGGTCATATCAAGTGAAAGTCAAGTCAACTAAACTGTGCAACATGTGTAGGAAACGTAGTATCCATCATCTCTCAACGATTCCCCTCTCCCCCATTTATCTAAGTTTATGTTCCCACTTTGCCCGGAGATTTTGCGCATCCAATGGTATCTAGTGGATTGCTGTAATCTGGCGTACTAGTAAACAGTAAACACAAATAGTCCACATTCCCAAGATAAACTTGGCGATGTCGGGCTACGCGGAAGAGGCATAATAACAACCTTCCATTATCATGCGCCACCTTCTAATAATGGGTTCGACCGGATGTGGCTCTCGGGGGTGGAAAGGGTGTATTAAAAAATGGAGCGCTGACAAGAGTGTACAACGTACTCTAATCTAAAGTTCACTAGGTGATGAGTGGCTCAGACAAGGCGCAATTCATCTTGCGCACTTGAACATGGTCCATGCATAACAGTGATTTCAGTGGAGTAGTACGGGGGTGCAACACACAGAGTGATTGGATTTTGATATTACATGTAAGATTTGTTTTTGCCTATTGTTCGCGCCCATTTGACTCCCAAACACGCATTAACCTTATGCCTGCCCATATTCGCGTATCTTGAATGAAGGAAGCTGCGTAAGCGGAAACGTCACGTTGGTGGGCTATTCATGCTCCATGGTGTTGCGTGCATTCTAATATGCCAAGCAAAAGGGAAATTACTTCAAACACTGATAGGTTAGCCCCTGCATGTTTGGGTGGGGAGTGAAGTGTGATATGGCGGCTACCTAGAGATGTTGTTGGGAAAGCCCCGAGACTTTTTTCGGGATTTCACCGAGCGGAGAGGAAATAATACGTGGAGGGGGTTTTCGTATTGTTACTTCCTTTGGCTGTAGAGATGTTTCATTAGGGATTTTCGAATATCGTTCTTTCTGACATATGTTCTGATTCTACACAGACAACACATATCTTCAGATAGTAGGAAGATTACGAATTTCGATCCATGGGCAAAGGCTCTAGATAATGCCTATGATGGCTGGACCGTTGAATCATGCAGCTAAGTGCATCGTTGGTGTGTCGGTATCGATACAGCTACCCGGGGGATTTTGCAAAGACCCCTTAAGCCACACTAGCGACTAGAACGTGCATCACGCATATTAGTGGCTTGGAAAGGTTGATAAGATGAATGATCTATTTAGATGGTTAGAAGCTGATAGTTTCGGTAAAGAGTATCCTCTCCCCGCGACATCGACGCTTGTCTCGCCATGCCCATTTCCCACTCGATAATTTCAATAACTGGTTAACAAGCAGAATCCGTCTAATAAAATGAACTTCATGAAATCAAGGCAGTAGGTTTAATCCTCAAATACACTTTGGAAACACATCGGTGAACTCGCGCTGACTTTCGTTTTATCGATCTTGCCAGGCCCAGCCCTTCATTCCCTCCCCAAATCATGCAGGACCTCGATTCCTCTTCGTATCCACCTCCATAGGTTCTGAGTGTCACTTTATGCAGTCAACCAAAGCTGAGCGTACAGTCTACCTCCCCCCTTCCTCTCTGTGTTCCCCTTTATCTTCTTTCCCGAGAAGGAAGCAAGCCCACCATTATCTCCAGGGATGAGCCTAGTCCACATGCCATCCAACTTCGAAACGGAAGCGAAGCCGTCAGGTGCGACACACAGGCACTAGCGCCCGGGTCCAGCGTGTGACGAGTAACCACGCCGGCAGCTGCGCTGCAACGTACAGTAAACACAATGCGGGGTTTGTCAAGAGATAGGGACTATGGGTGAGGTGACACAACCCGGGCTTGAGGATCAAAGGGTCACCTGGAGGTCTCACATAATGGAGTTGTGCATCTGGAAGCTATGCTGAATAGCCTTTTGCTGACGCAATCGGAATGAGAAGGCATCTGTGCACTTCGAGTAGTAATAGGTCAACAACATAGGCATCGCGGAGAAAACGGGTGTCTGCTGGCTATATATACCAACTATAATAGTTTCCTGTGCCAGGTTGAGGCGTTTGCATCTCTGCCTCACTTGACTATGCCTCCTCATGGGCCCCGTCTTGTTGCTTGGCGTTGTCAATCATAGACCCGTCACAAGGGATTCGCCTAGGAACATGATATAGGGGAAAAAAAGACTATGAAATCCAATCCAAAGCAATTGATTCAAAATCAGAACGATATCCAATAAATAAAAACCAAAAAAGAACCCTCGAATTTGGCGTTGTTAGCACCACACTCTAACCAACTGAGTTAAGGAACCCGTGAGTCCTTGGCACCTATCCTTATCAGGGAACCTCTGATTCCCGTATAGATTAGGGCTACATATATATATATCAGAATCATGCGTTTTAAAAATATATTGAACATGGAGTCCAACGATTTAATCTGTAAGGCACAGTATATATATTTCACATGTTGACAGACCATCACTAAAGTAGTCTATGTTGACATCATCGCTGGCATCTTCTTCTCTCTTTCTCTTTCTCTTCACATCCATTTCTTTCTTCCTCTGTTTTCATATGTTAGATAGATCTCAAATGAAGCTCTAGTTCAATATCATCACGACATCAGTGAAATTCTTTGAATTATTCTGATTACATATCACCTATGATTGGTCCTGGAGAGAGAGCCTCGATAGCTTCTTCTCCCCCAAAAGAGCCTAGGTAAACCCATGGACTGTATGAGCGGTACGCAGAGAAGTAAAGTCCCCGGTAAAGTGACGAACCGCAGCAACAACGGCTATCTGCGTTGAACATCTCCTCGCCATCAATTTCGGAAGAAAATTCGTACTCAGGCTTCTTGTAGATAGTCTGCCAGAAAGCTTGAGCCTACCTGATTAACTCGGATATTTCAAGTGCGTTGCCACCCAACCGAGCCGGAAATGTCAAGAAACTCCTTAACCTATCACGGACTCGTTTCATTTTAGTGCAGTGCTCACAAGAGATCGAAGCGGTTGTAACGGCTGTATTAGTCAAACACTATAGTTCAAGATGGTCGGCACCATCCTAAGCGCCCTCGCTCATGTAGAGGCAACCCACATACCAATTCAAGCATGGAAGAACATGCATGCTACATTTCCGCATGTGGAAAACAAGAACCAGAATTTCATGTGTTGGGAACTCGATATCCTTCGGTTCTTGACTGGTATGGTCGGTGTATCCGTAGACGACTTCTTCGCAGTCATACTATCTGGTGGATAGAACGTGTGGAATGACCCGTATGTTGGGGTGGTTGAAAATGTGGGCTTAGTGGAAGGAGTTTTATATATGTCACTGGCTGGCGACGTGAATGGCACTGCGGTTACCACTGTTGAATCCCTCGTTAGCTCCCTTCAAATATCATCTTTATCCAGTACCATAACACTGTTCAATATTTATCCCGCTTCGTACCTACTCTTTTTCCATCATATTTGAAACAGAGACCTCTGACTCGCAGAGTCAATTTTAACAAGACATATAAAGCTTTCGGCATTTGAACTTAAGCTCTGCCGGCTACGTGGCATATATATCCAGTCTTGGGAAACCCCCCCGAGGTAGGGGGACGGGGATGGAAGGGGCTCCGCTTTTGTAGAATCCTCTTATTTCTCCAACAATAGATGGTAAAGTTATTGATTTTTTAGGTGTCGAATCATGACCTCGAAATGGTATGAGAATTATTAGAGCAGTTCAGCTGCAATTTGATTTTGCTGTTCTACTCTCGGCATCTCGAACACTTGAAAGACCCTGATCGACCAAAATATGCATCACATGCCCCCGCAGACGATTTCGATTGTGGAGAGAATGGCGGGGATTTGTGGGGTGCATTCCGGGGTTGTGGTGGGTGAGTCTGGCATGCCTTCCTGCGCGGGGTTTTGCATGATGGCATTGACACCAATGCGACGTCATATCGGTGTATCGGCTATTGAAAATAATTCACTCCATACCAAGACTTGATAATACTATCATGAAAGCCAAGGAAGCCAAGGAAGCCAAGAATGAGGCTCTATATGGTGAGACAGAAGACGATATGAACGCAGGAACAAAATTGAGATTGATATAGCCATCTCGATAAGCCTATTTGCAGGATATAGCGAGAATAGCTGCAATAACTATTGCTTTAAGCTACCGCTGATCCATCTTTAAATTGTCAAATGCCGACTTTCGATGCCCACTAGAAGGGATGGATATAAATACCATGAACGGAGTATCTCAACAAAACACTATACCAAACCATCACTGTCTTGAATTCACCATGTTCTTCAGTCTCCCGGTGCTTCTATCCACAGCTATATTTATAACCTCCGGGCAATGCAGCTCCCATACTATACCTGTCCGATCTTCTCCGAAGAATAGTAGCCCAGTCCCCAATGATCTGCAATCAATTTCAATCGAATTTTCATACTTCCCCGACTATTCTGGGAACAAGTCACGACCAAATGAGTTCTCGAAGAACCTACTTCACAATCTCGAATCTCTTACCGGCGTTGCTCCGAAAGTAAGAGTCGGAGGAACCTCACAGTATGTTGAATCATTCTACAGGCTTTTAATCGCAGGTGCTGACGAGAATCCACTGATAGGGACCATGCTACATACTTCCCTGACCAAGAGGAGAATGTGAAGCTGTTCTACCAGAACCCCACTGATGATCAGCCGATCCAAATCAACTACGGTCCGACCTTTTTTGAATCGTACCACACTCTGGGAGAAATCAAATTCCTGCATGGGTTGAACATGAATCAAAACTCATCAATTCAACAGCTTCAAGACTCGGCCACGGAAGCTTGCACTTCCATCGGCCCCCAGCTGCATCTGTTTGAGCTGGGTAACGAGTTTAATTTCGCTCCCGGGAAATATCGCGCTGCAAATTACTCACTCCTTGATTATGTTGAAGAGTGGAACTCCAAGTCAGCCATTGTCAAGTCTGCCGTACAGAAAGCCTGTCCTGGTTCTTTTCCGGGATTTATGGCGCCTAGCTTCGTCCTGCTGGATTTCATTGACGACACGGCCTGGACTGCCGAGGACTTATACAATCTTGGATACGATAAAGATAATCTGACCAAAGAGCTATGCTTCCACAAGTAAAATAACCGCTCTCATTCTTGTTCTCGCTTTGCTTTGCTAACCCTTGCAACAGCTATATGGGTGTCAACGAGCCTCCTCTGCCCCCTGCACAGTTAGACCTCCAGCGTATATCTCTCCTCTTCGCATCAACTGAGTAATGCTGACAACGACAGGGACTTTAATGAATCACACAAACATTATACAGAGTCTCGCACAGCATATCAAGCGCGCCGAGAATCTTGCATACCTTGACCTCCCTTATACGCTTGGTGAGCTAAATTCTATCGCAAACCAGGGTGTGAATGGAGAGACCAATGTGTTCGGTGACGCTCTGTGGCTGGTTGACTTTTCCCTCTGGGCAGCGGTACACGTACGACCCGCCCATGTTTCCCATAAAACAAGCCACTGACATTGAGCAGGGTATTAAGCGTCTGCAGTTCCACCAAGGGTTGAACTACCGTTACGCCTCGTGGCAGCCAATCGAGAGCAAAGGACTTCCCCCAACCACCAGACCCCCATACTACGGTCAGATCATGGTCGCCAGTGCCATCGGACAGTCCAAGGACACGCGCATTGTTAACATTCCTCTGTCGGAAGATACAGAGTCTGCATATGCCATCTACAATGGAGATCAACTGTCGAAACTGGTTGTGACGAATCTGCGGGCTTTCAACCAGACTACGTTAGATCGTCCTCACAGGGAATATAAATTCCACGTGCCTGCACAATATAGAAGCGCTCGAGTTGAGAGCCTGATTGGTCCAGGGAGTGACGCGCTTGATAATATTACATTTGGTGGTATTTCATACGACCATGCGTTGAATGAGGGGAGGCCGGTCCAACAGCATGCGAACGAAGAGACAAGGATTAAAAATGGGCTGCTTACTATCGTTGTTCCGGACTCTTCCGCTGTTCTGCTCACTCTATGATTTGCTCCATTTGGGCTGTGCAGGTACTCCATATATAAGCACTATGTTGTATATAGTCATCCAGCAGATATGGTAAATATAGTGCGGTTAACAGGCGCAACGCAACGGTCTTTCGAATAGCCTAATGTCAGAATCTAGAATGTATCCATAGATATCTAAAAATAACCCCGTAAGCAGAAAAAGAAAACCTCACATTTGAAATCTAATTAAACCGCAAATGAGCAAAAGCGCAAACCTACATGCCAAGCAGCTAACCAGCTTACGATAGGGCTAAGGAGACTAGACTGGGCCCCTCCATTTTCAGCCCCAGGACTCACCAGGACCCCCTTTTCTCTATTTTTTTAAATGGAGACTGTTCTCGATTTACTGTTGTCGGTTTTCCTTTTTTTCCTTTGTGTCTACGTTCCACCATGGCTTCGTCGCGGGATTCGCAGCAATCTCTGCTATCCGAAGATTCGATCGACGCCGCTCGACCCCAACGTTCTTGGAATCCACTCAACAATCGCCTAACCGATGCCGACTATCGCTACCATGCTCCCTCAGATAGCACTAGCACCTGGTCCGAAGAAGTCCTGCGTGATGTTGGGCTGGGCATCTCGAACTCGTCGGGCGACACCATCCCGGCAGAAATTCCGGCAGACAGCCGCCATTCAACCGATAGCACTGCGACTACGACTCCAAATACCTACAAGATTCCCCAATCTCCCGAGTCTCCGCAGACTCCACATACCCACGCCCATGTGCGGTGTCCCAACCGATCAACGGTTCTCCAGAAACGGCTCTCGTGGGTCCCGCTAACAGTCTTGGTTCTCGCTATCTATGCCACTATCTTTTCAGGTATCTATCTCGGTATTGCGCTGCGCAAGCCCCGATGGCGCAGTATTTCCATTGATGGGCCGTTGGTTCCATCTACGGCAGCTTTGCTGAGCTCATTCTTTGCGAAGACGATCGAGTTGTCCTATGTTACGATTTGTGTCGCGTTTCTGGGACAGGTGCTTAGTCGGAGGGCTTTGATGAGGAATTCTCGAGGAATCAGTATCTCGGATATGAATATGAGGGCCTGGATTATGCAGCCCGGATCCATGATTGTTCATTGGGAGGCGCTGCGATATTCCGCGCTCACCTTCCTCGGGTCGGTTGCGTTGGTTTCAACGTTCGTGGCGATGCTATATACCACTGCCGCGCAAGCTTTAGGTAAATTCTCTCTCTTCTATCCAAAAATTATATCAGATACTAATCAACCAACAATAGTTGCTCCTAAACTCTCTTTTGGTCCTATCGAACCAAGGACACTCCAGGGCAAGGTAACCGCCAGCTTCGCAAACCCCAAATACATCGCATCAGCCTGTGAGACACCTGTCACCAACGACATGGACTCCATGTATCGTAATACGACCTGCCTCCAAATTGTACACGTCGGCCATGCATATCACAACTACCAACAATGGATAGCCCAATGGAGCCAGCTAGTAACCAGCAAGAACGAAACCTCAAGCCAGCTCCAAAAACGCCTACCGCCAACAGGCTCACTCTGGGACAACACCACAGTAACAGGCAGCTGGGTCGACATGCAAGACATGTCCACGCTCTCTAAGAAACACAACCGAATGGTCAATAACATAACAATGGCAATGCCACACGGCGGCATTCCCGCCGCAGCAATGAACTCCGAAAACAAACTCAAACAACCCAAAGATACCTCCGGCGAAGGAAAATACAACATCGAAGCCTCCGTCCCCTCACCGGCCGTCAACGTTCTCTGCACCGGAATGACAAAAGAAGAGCTTAGCCCCTTAGTCTACGCCTCCTGGCCCGGCGGCGACAAATTCAACGTGACAACCTGGAATTTCTTACCCCCAGACAACATCCCCCACCCAGCAGACTGGAAAAACAGCACAGTCGTGGATTCACTCTTCGAATTCGGTCCGAAACATAGTCAAGTCTCACCGATTTTCGGCAAATACCCACTCCCATACAACACAATCCTCAACACAACAGGTGCCTGGCCCACAAACGCCATCTACCTCCTCGGCGCAACCAACAACACCGATATGCCAGAGTATATTATGTGCTCTTTGCGCGTGAAGCAAACAGGAGTATGCTCGACCAAGTACTCCGCTGACACGAGCGGCGCATACCTCAGTACAAACTGCGAGAACGCCTCAAACGGCCTACAATACGACCGACGACAAGACGCGTTCTACGAGGGTATTTGGAATTCAGACTGGAAGAATATCGCGTCGGAGTGGGCGAATGCGCTCAGCTTGAATGCGGGTATCTCCGACGGCGCGGCTAGCAATGCCAGGCTGCTTATGCAGATGATGCCGCGGTATAACAAGACCGAGGAGACTTTCGCGCTGGACCCGAATCTACCATCTATCGCCGAGGCATTGGCGGTGATGGCTGGAAGTACTCTTATTCTCAGTTCTCAGGATGCGCCGTTCGTCCCGTTCTGGAATTACAGTGCCGAGGACGGGACTGCTCTTTCCGAGGACGGGACTGCTCTTTCCGAGCCTGTTTACCAAATCTTCAATGCTTCAATCCAGGCTTTTGGATATGCTTCCAGTGGGGCGGAGCACTGGCAGGGGATATTCTATGTGATTCTTGTTTTTGCATTCCTGACCAGCGCTATCTGTCTCGGGTTTATGATTGTCGAGGCGCGCGGTCGACAGGTGACTGATTTCACGGAGCCGCAGAATTTGTTCGCGCTTGCTGTGAATAGTCCGCAGACGAGTCAGTTGGAGGGTGCTTGTGGATGTGGGCCTTGGGGGAAGCAGTTGAAGGAGAGGTGGTTTATTGGGATGGAGGAGGATGATGAGCATTATTATATTCGGAGTAAGACTGAGGAGAAGATTCCGCTTCTTCGGAAGACGGATGATTCGACGCGTTTGGAGCCGATGGAGATTGAAGATGGGGGTGGGAGAATGCTTAGTCCTATGGTTAATGAGTTTAGGAAGGTCTCGAAGAGGCATTCGTTTTTGGCGAAGCTTTATTAAAGACATTCCTAGGACGTCTCCGTGTGGACAGTTGGGTGCTTATGATGAACACGACTTATATATGATAATGGTTAATTGGAGTCAGGAATATGACGAAAGGTATTTCAATAGGGCATGGCTAGAGCATGCGCTTGATTTCAAGTGATTTACACTCAGATCGAGATATGTACAGAATAACATTAACACAACACTCACACAAGAACAACTAGATCGACACACAGTACAGGCACAGCCATGAAATCAAATGGATAATAAAAAAAAAGTGACCGGTTCAACAAATGTGGCACAACGCTAAGGAATCGCTCATACACACGAACATAAAACGAAGAAGATGCTGGATGTAGGTAAAAATGCAGCACGTCAAGTGCAAAGACACAGAGCAATAGGCTTTTTCGAGACACCAGTAGCAATGGAGATGCGATAAAAGGAATGGATGAGGAAGGAGGTAAGAGAGTCGCCAAATAACCTGGCAAGGCGAGGTATGTATTTTTGAGGAAAGATGAGGGAGAGTATGGGAGAGTATGGGAGAGTTGGGCTCCAAATGGACTGTAAGTCGGAATATTGGGCGAACGTATGTTAACGATCAGCCTTGAGATTGAGCCAGCTCATGTCTGAATTGGTATTGTTCTTCTGCCCTTGCATCGGAAGTTCGTCGATATCGTGTGGGATGATGACGCTTGATCTTCGTGCATTGGACTGCCTTGCCTTGTCCGCAAGGCTGGCATTCGATGATTCCCAGGGCATATCATGTGTGCTCGGCTGGTAGAAGCTGGTAGTGTAGTTGCTGCTTGGGGGACGTCCAAGCCAGCTGCTCTGGCCCGCACCTTGCCACTTTGGATCATCGCGGTCGTCGTCCGATGCGATACTGATAGAATCGGCACTGGAGATTCGTGCCGATTGGCTCTCCGGGATTACCAGGCTTCGGCTACCCATCTCACTAGAACCGTGCTCCGTGGTCGGGCTACCGCTAAGAACGTGACCCAGGGGTTTGGGCTGGTCAAGGAAACCAAAATTCAATGGTGTCAAGGTAGTCATCGGCCAAGCGCTTCCGCGGTAATCGGACTTAGTGTATACGGAACTCATAGTTGAGCGGTCGGATTGGAAGTTAGTGGCACCACCGTCCTCAAAGTACTTTCCCCACCCTTCGTCAGTCATTCGGCCAGCAGCCTGGTTTCCATGCCCGGTGTCATCGCCAGACCGGTTGGTGTCGTCGGTGTATACGCTTGATGCGCCCATGATACCGCTGGAGGGAATTGTAGATAGCGGACTGCTACTCTTGGGCTGAGAAGACAATCCATAGCCCGTATTACTGGGTGGCTTGAGGGATTTCTCTCCTTTGTAGTTGCCGGAGAAGATAGCCAATGAGTCAACCGAAGCAGCGGCGACTGGGACAGGAGATCTTGCCATGGGGTAAGCGCCTTCGGTCAGGGGTTCTATACCCTGATCCTGGAAGCTTAGGCGGTCTTTGTTGTCGCCGCCGCGGCCGGGTTGCGCTGCCTGCTTCTTCTTCTTCTCGCGTCGCAGTAGGAACAGAATGATGAGCAGGATCAGGCCAAACCCTAGGATACTCCCGAGGGTTGCGCCAAGAATCATTTTGCCATGATCGGTCAGGCCACCACCTACAGTCGCAACCGGCTCTGAGGAAGAAGTGGGCGTGGTTGAGGCTGAAGTCGATGTGGGTGTGGATGATGAGGTTGATGTCGAAGTAGATGATGTGAATGATGTGGTGGATGGTTTGAGAACGTGTTGATCTCCTTTTCCATTGAAAAACTCTGTAGAGTTGACCCATGCGTTGGACGTCTGGTTGAAGATTGCCAACGAGTCGTTACTTCGGCCGCTGGCGAGAACGACCAAGCCACTACCCTGGGCCAGCGTATAATCAGACCAGGATGCCGTCGGGGCGAATGTGCCGTTATAAGAATCGGTGAGATCCCTCTTTCTTGAGGATGCGATAGCTGTAATCGGGTTCTGCGCCTTTCCTTTCGAGCTAAGAATGTAGCTAGT